GTTTTTGGACGTAAAGTAATTTATAAGTGCTTTGTAGTTTTCTCGAGAGTTTGTGTTTATTTTGATATCATTAACTCTGGAGAAACAGCGGAAATTGGTCTTTCCAATCAGACCGGCTATTTCTTGACCAAATGTAATGAAATTATCGACTTTTGATATGAAAATAGGTGGCGGCTCGGGCTCAGAAAACTCTTGAGGCTCCGGAACCTTGCTTGATATTTTATTAACAGGAACAGGATTATTGGTGTTAGTGGTGGTTGGTGCAGTTGGCTCTGATGTTCTGGTAATTGATTTGCTTCTGGTTTGAGGTGGTGATATATTTTGCTCGGCTGATTGTTTAGTTTTAGTAGATTTACTTTGTTCAGTTGACTTTTTAGATTTATTTTGCTCTGCTAACTGTTTAGGTTTAGCTGATTTATTTTTTTTCTTATTGGGTGAATTAGCTCCCGACCCAGGAGGAGTGTTTCGATGACGTTTTTGAAGTGTTCGTCTTTTTAAATACTGCGAATCTGTTTCGCTAACCTCAGAAAACGGCGTTTCGTCCTCCGAATCTTCACCTGACGAACTGTTATCTAAATTCATATCTTCCATATTATGATAAAAGAGAGAAAAAAAATATATATTTACTCCTAAATATGATAATTAAAAAGATTGAAGATTACGAAATAAGCTATTAAAAAATAAACTATATACATAACTATAATCAGAAATAAAATAAAACATTTCTTAGAATAAATATTTAAATAAAAATAAAACAGTCTCTGGAAAAGAAAAAAAAAAAGAAAGAAAAAAAAAATAAGGAAACGTAAATATAATGTCTTGGGTTCGAACTGAAGACCTGATGACTGAAGGAAGTTAGTAAACAGAGTCCCCGGCCGTGAACATATCAGAATATGATAAGGCACGTAAGGGAATTAACGGCCTCTCAATCTAACCAAATGAGCACCAATTTATCAATTGTTTATTGTTAATAAATAGTACCTCACCTGCGTGTACGTCAACGTAAAAGTGTAAAACTGTTTATTAACTCACTGTTGATTAAGTATTACACCACAACTTTGAATATTGAGCACATTACAAAGCAACAAATACAGAGCGACATGAAAGTTATACTGCACTTGCGGCCATGACACTTGCTACTAGATTTATTTAAAACTGATATTTCTTCGTTTTGTCGGCCATTTTGGATTTTAGTGATCATTTTCGAAAATTTCAGAGGGCTCTTAGGCCCACATTAATTAGTGTATCCTAAAGTACATTCATAGTAAATTTGGTGTTTTTATTTGCGATGCAGCGATAATCTTAAAATAAAACGCTAAGCTACCCAACGATCTTGAAAATAATATATGCCGAATGATTAATGTATCAGTTATTAATGAAATTATAATAATTAATTGTATTCAATGTTAAACTGAAATAGATCAGTCATATAGAACTTTGTAATCAGTTATCTGCCCTTGACACGTGGGGGTTAACGGAATAGACGGAAGCACTAAGTGTAAGTAAACATTTCTCGACCACAAAAACATATTTTAAGAAACTTCAGGCAACGAAATTAAAAATGAAAATTCGGCATCTAAGCCCCGTCATATAGTTCAATGATAATAAGAATTAACTGATATCAAAGTCGATTTAATTTTACACGGATGTAACAAGCTTAATCAAAATCTTTTGAGACTGATAAAAGATATTAAATATCTATATGAATAAATTAATATGGCATGATTCAGAATTTGAACGCAGTTAAGATCAAGAAATTTAACTTTTTTTCAGCGATTATAAGCACAACTATTTATTTCACATAGTTGATATATTATGTAATTTCACAATTAAAGTCATAATCCTTTTCTTTATAAGAATTATGCTAGATGAAAATTAATTATTCATAATTGACAATATAAATGTTTTTAAAATATTACAGATCGAAGAGCATTAAAAAATACACAAAGTTCTAAATACAAAAACTTTTAATAATTTTATAAAGATAAGAAAATAATACAGTAATTAAGAACAATGGGTGATAAATATTTAGGACGCAGTCATTATAAAGTTTTTAGTGCCGACGGTTCAACTCAAACACGTGGGTCATCATCAGGGCCGTGATCACTGAAGGTTTTTGAGTCCCCGAATACCTTCAGTGGTCAAAACACGCTTTGATGATGACTCACATGTTTGGGTTGAAACGTCGGCAATAATAATAACTTTATAATGACTGCGTCCTGAATATTTATCACCCATGATATGTAGAACAGTCGATTAACTTCCTCCAATAATTAATTAAGAATAATATATAATTTTTTTTTCCTCCACGTCTATATTCTTAAAACCGCACATTCTATTTGACTCAAATCTGGAGGGGGGTTAGTGGTTGGTTAACAGATAATTAAGTAAGTATCAATTTTATAAAATTATATCTGCTACTCTAAAAAAATTCCGGTTTTTGGATTAGTAAACTTATTATTTGATCCGCATTTAGTTTGAAAACGGCTCGTTCGATCTGACCCAAACTTGTAAGAAATTTGGTGAATAGTTTAGAAATTGATTAGTACCAATTTCATTGAATTCCATTTAATAATTAATTTAATTATTTTATTTTATTTAAATCAAATTTAATTAATTTAAATAACTGCTTTTTTTTTCCTACTCCCAAGAATTTTTTTATTACAAAATACAATATATAAATTTTATATATACATAATTTTTTTAGATTAATCCTCAGGATGTAAATTCATTAAAAGCTCAGTGTTATTATTTTTTAATTTACTCTACATATTTATGTCCATACTACATATATTCAAAAAATATATAGTCCCTCCACGCCCAGTGGTATAATAAAAGGCCTCTGGCCACAGATGCAAAGAACGCATACAGCGTGCAGAGCCCTCTTAACTTAAAATGCCCTTGGGCAATAAAAGGAAAGTTGAAAATTTATGTATATATATACATTTATATACATACTGAATTTATTCAAGAAATTCCTGGGGGGTAGGAAAAAAAAAAAAAAAAAAAAAAAAAAAAAAAAAAAAAAAAAATATATAATTTTTTTATTTCCTTTTATTGCCCAAGGGCATTTTAAGGTAAAAGAGCTATGTTAAGGGCACGCTGTATGCGTACTTTGCATCTGTGACCAGAGGCCTTTTATTATACCACTTAGCGTGGAGGGACCGCCCTGCATTAATTCATTACTTACATTATATAAAATAATTTAGTGGATGTGAACTACAGAGTCCAAACCCCTTCCCTCGGTGAGAATATCTACCAAGGGGACTTTATCTTGTCACCTCCCAGGCCTGGGCGGCGTTATTATTTCCTGGAAAAGCGGATTAACACAGACCATCAACCCATCGAAAAATTTGATGTGCCTTCGGCCTATGAACTCAGGCACCGATGGGAGCTGAAGCTCCTCTCGGATCTTTACATTCTTTGCCCTTTGCAGGGTGGTACCTCTGACTATTCGCCGAAGGATGGAGTTTTGATAACTCTGGAGTTTCTTGAGCGTGGACTTATACAAGTGACGGAGCAACGGTGCACCATAGAGCAGCGTAGGCCTGATGACCGCCTTGTAGATTTGCAGTTTTAGTCTCAACGAGAGCTGCGCCGACTTTAGCAGGTGGTAGAGCCTGTACGCCTTTTGCCGATCCAGCTTGAGCCTCTGGTTGACGTGACTTAAATAACTGCTAAAATATAGTGGCTGTGAAATGTGGAAGGTATTGATCAGATAGAACGGGAATTAGTTTAGTACAATATTTTTATAAGGTTATAAAGTTTTGGGTTTTATTCAAAAAGTTAATTTATGCTTTATTGTTTGGTCGATTCTAAACGTTACAGGCGCGACACTTACTACCATCACATAGATGTTCATTAAATTTAAATTTATTTTTACTCTTGTAGTTTATAAAAAAAAAAAATCAAATTTTTGTGATAGTGTTTATTGAAATCCAAACAGCTCGCCCTGGTCTCTATTTCTTCCTTAATCATCAAAGTTGTTTGAACTTTAATCATAATTTTATGTTCAAGCTTAAATTAGTTTTAATCGACTTAAGGAAAATATTGGTCTCGTTAACTTCGAACAAACAAAAAGTTGAATTTTTCCAATTAGTGAAAACATACCCATTAATTATATATCGTTACTGCTGTTGCAAAAGATCATATTTAAATTTTTCTTTTTTTATTCTATTTGTGGTAAAAGTGGAATTTTGTATTATGTAACGGATATAGGTAGTGTGGTACTACCTATAAAAAAAGAGAAGAGGAAAATAAAATATGAAATTACACTAGTAAATCAAATAATTAGTTTTTGTGGTTTCCTATTAAGCAATAAATTTATACATTCTACGTTTTGCTCTAGTATTAGTAATACGCAACATAATTCGTGAATATCAAACCCGCGAATCTTAACGGGATTACTGTATTTCCGGAAACGACTTCTCCTGGAGATTTTATTTTCATACGAAAAATTATAGACTTTAGAATATATATATATTATTTATAAAATATATATAAATATATAAATTGCAAATGAAAACTGTGAGGAAGCTATACTGACGTTACTTGGCAGACGTTTTTAATTATACATATAGCTGCGTAGTATGGCATTACACGGTAACGTACTTATAATTACATAATACTTATTATGTTTGTATAAAATAATAAAACGACAAGTAATGAAATAAGAGTAAGTAATGAAAGAACTGTCTTCTAATAATTTGCAGAATAGAGGGATTCTAGGGATCTAGGCACCAATCCGTACAATTTCTGAAAATTTCATGAAAATCAAATAAATGATAGTAGTTGATATGCCCGTTACATCGTTTTGACTACAGACAGACACCAAATTTTTGATTCTGAGCAAAAACATTTGTTAAACGTCTCTCACGAATACAAAGCGTCATTACCTTTGGTAGTGAAGGTGAAAAAGAACATTTTTCACTGATTTCATTAATTATTAATGAATTGGTATAATATTTTTTTAGACTAAAATGTTCTCTATTATTTTTTCTAGATATTATTCCCAAATTTATGAAGTATGTAAGTGAATTTGGAAGCATTTTTGAACTGCAAATGTTTGGTATGAAGTACGCAATCGTGTCAGACCCAGAAATTATTAAGGTGAGGTTTGATTTTAATATTACTTTTGATAATTTATACATTCGTATTTGATCATATCCCTTTGACAATCTTAGTTTATAGGTAGTAAATCATTGAAAATATGTAAAATATAATATACATATAAATAGTACAAGTATTATTAAAGGTTCAAAAATGTTAAAAATTATTATTAAATATACAGTGATTAAGGTAGAGGCTTAATTACAAATAAGATATCAAACTTAAAAATCGATTAGGCCGTTCGTTAAAAAAATCGTTACATACCTTTCAGCAAATGATTAAACTCATTTTATTCAATCATAGGACTATGCTTTTAGCTAAAATTGTTTAAAAAAACCCAGATGATCTCACCGAAAAAATTAAACCATCAAACTTGACAATCGATCCAGCCATTTGCTTAAAAAATCGTTACATAGCTTTTAGCGGACATCCCAAACATATAACTTTCGTGTTTTTTCACTTTGTATGGCAATAAAGGACACGGAATCAAGTGTAGGGTGAAGCACAAGAGGTGTTAATTCGCTGCAATGAAGTGATTTTACTAACAGCAGAGGATTTTAGTAACAGGAGGAACCGTAATCTGAATGAAAAGAAATTCAAGTATAGATAGAAGATAGATATAAAGTAAACTTTATTCTGGGACAAGGTCCCTTATGAATAACAGATATGAACAAAAAAATTAAAACTACATCTGGCCAAAAATTACATTAATAAATATTAAAGAATATATACAGTATCTTCAGTGACATTAAATTAAAACAAGTAAAAATAAAATAAAATTTTGAGAAAAAACGAAATAAAAAAAACAACATTATTTAAATGAAAATAAAAATAAAATAAAATAAGCATGGGTTGATTTTTAAAATTAAGACTCAATAAATTTTATCAACCATTCACCTCAGTCAAAATCTGTTTCACAATATTTATTTTATTGTATAACGTCATTTTGGGATGTGAGAAGGAATTGTAAAGATGATATTTAAATGAGGACAAGGAAGAGGCATGACGGATTTCAGATGGCAAGGAATTCCAGAAGGCTGTGGATCGAGAAATAAAGGAATATTCAAACGTCTTAGTTCTATGGGAAGGGATATAAAGGTCGGAAACACGGGATCTTGTTTTCTGGGAGTGGACCACGGGTTTAAACTGTAGGAGACTGTAGATGTAAGAAGGGTGTCTGGTGTTGATTGTTTGGAATAGGAAAGATCCGAGGAAATATTGTCTGCGGAAAGAAGGGAAGAGCCACTTTAAATCGTCGTAAAGGTGGGACACATGAGATCGCTTTGATGTACCGAAGACAAATCTTAAGCACGTATTCATAAGTCGCTTCAATCTATCCTCGAGTACGATCGGGATGCCTCCGTACACCACACAGCCGTAGTCAAAGTGGGGGAAAATGAGAGAGGATACAAGGAGCTTGCGGATGGGTTGTGGGAGTAGGTGGCGGGAGCGATGAAATAGCTTAAGGGTACCTATTGACTTACGGGAGATGAGGGCAATATGGGGTTTCCAGGAGAGGTTTTCGTCTATGGTGATTCCTAGGTTTTTAACGGATGAACTGAATGTGACAGGATGATCGTTGATGATTAAAGGAGGAAGGAAGGAGATGGATTTAAGAATAGGACTGGAACCTATAATAATGGCCTGAGTTTTCATCGCATTTAGATTTGAATTATTCAGACTTGCCCAGGCACTGATCCTATCTAGGTCAGCCTGAATATTGGCGAACGCGACTAGTAGCTCAGAAGGATGAAAAGAAAAATATATTTGAGTGTCATCAGCGTATAAATGATGTGAACAGTGGTAGATGGATTTGGAAAGATCATTTATGTAGGAATTGAAAAGAAGAGGGGAAATGCATGAACCCTGGGCCACTCCAGAGGACATTGTAAGAAAGGAAGATAGGGGTTGGTTTGGAATGCTGACTGCTTGAGTTCTGTCGGATAGGAAAGACTGCAACCAGAGGATAGAGCTGTTGGAGAAGGATAGAGATTTTAATTTAGTATAGAGTATATAGTGGTCTAAGGAGTCAAAAGCTTTGGAAAAGTCGAGAAGTATTAACACGGTTAAAATTTTTTCGTCCATTGCGGTATGTAAGTCATTGGTAATTTTTAGTAGGGCGGATTGTGTGGAGAAGCCAGGTCGGAAACCAGATTGGAGAGGATCGAGTAGTTTTGAGTTTTCAAGGAATTTAGAGATTTGGGATTGAGCTATTCTTTCCAGAGGTTTAGAAAGGTTAGAAAGAATGGAGATTGGGCGGTAGTCTTTAGGAGAGGTAGGATTGGGAATTTTGTTGATAGGTCTGACTAATGCTTTTTTCCAAGCAGTTGGAAAAACTGAGTTCTGGAGGGAAAAATTATAGATGAAAAGGAGAACTGGAACGACTTCGGGAAGGCATAATTTTAATAGTTTGACTGGTATCCCATCAAGTCCGATGGAGTTTGTGTGTGATTTCATTATAGAGGAAATAAGGTCGGTCGGTGAAATGTTGGAGAAATAGAAATTATCACTGTTAAATGAGGGTGATAAGGAAAACTGGTGAGAGGTGGGTGAACTGTTGCTGGTGGTGGAAGATATAAAGTAGGAATTTAGTTCATCGGGTGATACCGAGTAGAACGGTGAGGAAGAGGATTTACAAAGAGAGAGTTTACGAAGGGTTAGCCATATTGATTTAGAATCAGGAGCAGAAGAGAGAGTTTCGTGAAAGAAGTTTGATTTCGCTTTCCTGATCGTTGTTTGTGTCAAGTTACGGAGTACCCTATAGACTTGATAGTCATCTGCTAGTCGAGTTCGTCTGAAGCGTCTACGGGCTGCCTCACGTCTCTTTTGCATGTCGCGGATTTCTTGACACATCCAAGGACGAGGTTGGCGACGGAAGGTTGATGTTTTGATAGGAGCATGTATGTCAAGAATATGGATAAGATTAGAAGTGAGGATGTCTACCATATGATCAATAGAGGTACAGGAATAAATATCGTTCCAGTTTTGGGTTTCAAGGTCCGGTAGGATTTTATCACGGGTGAGGTTGTCAAGATTGCGGAAAGTTATGGTTTTAGGAAGAAACGTGGGAGTTTGGATATCGTACGATAATTGGATGAGATCATGAGAAAAAAGGAAAGGAACGGGTAATTGAGAACAGGACAAGAGTTTCTGCTCTGAATCGATGATATGCAAGTCCAGCCAGGTGTCCGACCAACAAGTATGGTGTGTAGGAGCGAAAGGAACAATAAAAAGGTTGAGGGAGAAGAAGAGATTTTCCAAATAGCGTTTGTTGTTGGATTCTGTGAGGAGGTTGGTATTAAGATCACCGGAAATTATAATGTTATTACAGAAAGGGACATAATTGTACAAGGTTGATTCGAAGGATGAGTCAAAAGGAGTCAAAGGAGGGCGATATACGACCACATAAAGGAGAGAATGTGCTTTACAAGAAATTTCAGCAAGAGGAATTCAATGTGAGGATGATTGGAAGGGGATGAAATATCTAGAATACGGGGTTTCAGGCTATTATGAACATAGAGACCAACACCTCCGCCAGTCCGGGAAACCCGGTCATGACGGATGAAGGTATAATCAGGTAAGGAAACGGAAGAGGAAGGGATATAGGGCTTAAGCCATGTTTCAGAGACTGCAATAATGTGGTGGAAGTTACAGGTGAAATATTGGAGAAATTCGTCATAGTGAGCAGGAAGGGATTGAGAATTAACATGGCAAGTAGTTAAGACGCTAGACATAACGGAAAGGAGAAAAGTATACATATGATGGATGACGCTGTAGGTAAGAAAAAACTGTGAAAATAAATTTGGAAAGAAGTAAATAATGGCTGTAAGAGAAGAAAAAAAATACGAACAAAATAGAGTTAGGTTCAAAAATATGAAAGAGGAAAAAACAAAAAAAATTACATTGGTTAAAATAGAGAAACAATAATAACAATAGTAGTAGATGGGCAAACCAGCACGATGCTGTATTATACAATAGAAGATTGGGAGTTTGCGGATGCATTCTGTAGGTTGACGTAAATCAGAAGGTCAGCAGAAAACATCTAGATCATCTGGTTGGTCGATGTATATCACGGGATGGCCATCTCCTTTTCTGCAGTGCAATCTACCCGCCGAAAACCACACGTATTTTAGTTTACCAGCCGCTCTCTTCTGACGTGCGAGCCAATACAATCTTCTATTAGCAGGGGTCATTTCTTCACCCAGGTATATCCGGTGGGAGTCGTTTTCCTGCCAGCCGATGTCTCGAGTTGAGAAATCCCTTTTGACCTTTCTTCTTTGGACCAGCTCGTCTCGTACTGCCTGCCTCACAAAGCGAGCTATAACTGGTGGTGGTCTAGGGTCGTCTTTTTTAGGTCTACGGCGCACCACAAAATCGATGTCCTCGATGTTAATCTTAACACCGAGACCAGCTCCCACACTGGCAACTAGGGCCGAAGGAGTCTCTACTGCACGTACCGGAATGCCTCGGCATGGCAATAGTCCGGATGCGCTCTTATATCTCTATCTGATACTCCTTGAGACCGTTAGACCAGAGGTGTACAGAAGAGAGTTTTATTGCGCAAGATGTACCATAAAAATATTTGAGATGGGTACATTTTGATAGGGTTTTGAATTTTGAGGGAGGTAAATTTCGACTGGGATTTTTCGAAATGAAAAGTTTAAAAAAGCGGACAAGAGAAAAGCATAGAACAAACCACTAAAAATGTAATTGTATATAACCTATGATTTATAAAATTCATATTTAGCTTGCTTTGATTTTAAATACAAAAGAGCAATAAAATATCTTGGGAGGAGCAGGTGGGGAGGTTTATGGGCCATCGACCTTGGGGAGGGAAGGGACAACCGTGCTTTGGATCCTATCGACTACTAATTTACTTAAATTTTCCGACCTAAAAGATTGTATTCATTTGTGTAATCTATGTTTTGATATAATAATAAAAATATCCATGTATTACTTTCATATTTTTGATATATTTTCTATGTTAAGTTTTTCTTCTTCCTTATATGACTGAAAAGTGTTTTTGACAGCTTCAAAAGTTTTCTTCCCTCCCTGTTCCTGTTGAGCTCCTCTGTTTTCTAGCGCCAGGGTTTTTTTTTAGATTTTGCTGTCAAATATCGCAGTTATGAAATTGCCTCCTTTAGTTTTATGTTATTTTGAGATAAAGGATATCTCTCTGCAACATCCCGTAATGCGATACATTTGTTCCTAGTTTATCTAGTTCCTCCGTCCAATATGGCTTGTACTGCTTTCTGAAACCTCTAGGCATACTTTCCTTAGCTGCTTGTAATAAGGCAGTGGCAAAGCGTTGGGAAGATATGTTTAATTCATTTGATGTTACGTTTATATAGGACATGTAACTGTCTGCAAAACCAGTGTAGATGTTCCATTTTACTTTCTTGAAGTTCCATCTTGGTAGGGGAGGCGCTTCAGAGGCCGAGAAATTCAAGTCCACTTCGAGTGCGGTAGGCCTATGGTCGCTTCCTCCTAGTTTGTTTGCCATCATTCGCTGTGTAGAGATAACTAGATTTTTGCAGCAAATTGCCAAATCCGGAAAGGTAGTTGATTTCCAGATTCGTGAGTAAAAAGTAAGAGGGTCGTCAGGTTTACCATACGTCGAAGGAAGACTTCAGCTTGCCGTGTTTCAACTTCCTCGCCTCCTGTTGATCCAAATCTCGATATCCCCACGAAGAAGAACGTTCATTGAAGTCACCTATTACAATGCAGTCGTTCTCCGGAATGTCCATAGCTTGAAAGCATTTTATCATTGGGGCAATAGTAATTGTGCAGTTTCAATTGTCTATCGTCGATTTGGACCAACGTTCCAATGATCTCTGCCTTAATGTTTTGATGGTCGTTTCTTAAAGGTATATCCTTGGCTGGGAAAGAGTTTTGTATCATCTTGAGAATACCACCTTTGTTTCGACCAAAGCGATCTCTCCTAAAATCTTGGTAGCCTTTCACACTAAATTGTAGGTTGGGTTTTAAATAGGTCTCCTTATGCATATTATGTCGATAGCCTCTTCGGTAATTTCTTTTTTAGCATGCCTTCTGCATTCCCTTGCATGATTCGGAAGCTCTTTAGTTTCTTGCTGATATGGTCAGTAGCATAACTCCTCTCACCGGCCCTGACTCCACGACCGGGAGGGAGTTTACCACCGGTAATTCGATAGCGGCCCCTCCGAGTAAGGCCAGATGCTCTACTTGCCTGGTGGGAATCCACAAGAGGAGCACCTCCTTCGATATCATTTCGTCCAGTTTTAGCCATAATTGGAAGTAAATGCGTGGAATCCTATTTTCCATCTGCCTCGGATGGGAGATTGGAAGCAGTCCTCCAGCCGAGCCATTGGTCTCCAGCTTCACCTTGATGTGGATGTTTTCTCATAGGACCATCCAATTCGTACTGTCTTCGGCCCCATGTCAGTACTGGTGAGGCTGCTGCCCCTCACGAGAGATGTTTTTATGACCTTCCGGTGGTGATCCACCGTGTTTGGTATAAGAAAGTCCACCTCGAGCAGGATGCGACATAGGTCGTGCAGAGACGGTCTTATCCTTATCCTTAGGACGGTGCACAGAGGTTTCGGGTCTTATCCTCGACTATTCCCCTGGGGTTGGAGAAATGTTAGGACTCGTATTCAGGTCAATCCTATATAAGAGTGCTGCTCCCAAATTTCATTTTTTTCACAGATATTATTTAAAATGTTGAAGACAATATTCTAAAATGTGATTGCTCTTCTTTGCTATTTAAAAAAACAAACTATCGATGTATCTCAATATGATTCAACAAAAGAAAACATTCATTCATTTTCTGTAGTTGAAATCATTTTAATTAACGGTGGAATAAAAGTACTTTTATATAATTATTATAACTGTTTTATAAAAGTAGCCAATTAATATTTCAATCACAAATGTAGTAATACTATATCTCTTTCTTTTAGCCAGTGTTAACCAGCCCTACTCAAATTACTAAAAGTCATTTCGAGTATTCATTCTTCAGACCGATGTTCAATGATGGACTTCTGGTTTCGGATGGTGAGTCAATTAGTTAATTATATGATATTAATGATAGTAAATGATATTATAATTTAAAAATAATAATAATAATAGTAGCTATAGTTTATTTGAAAAAAAAGTTTTAGAGAACAAAAATAGACTTCACATATAACACATCTTTGTTAACAAGTCTGCATTGTCATCTAAACTTCTTTTAGGGAATAAGTAATAATTTCCTCATGCTAAAATTCAGCAGCTAGTTCATCTCTGAAGATTATTCATAATTCTCCAATTAGCCAAACGATAATTAAATACTCGATCGCTAATAAATTGATTAAATATAAGATTTCTTGGAATTACAGAACATAATAGAAATTTAAAAATCAATAAATGATTATAATAAAGACCAATGTTTTGAGATATTGCGAATGTTTTGAAATTCTATTGAACTACCATATGTACCAAAGTTAGAGAAAAATATGGTATAAGTGGGGGTTTTTACAGTTTACCTTTTTTTTTAGTTTGCCTTAAGTCAATAGTTATGTAATCAATGAAATTACATGAGTATTACAAGTTAGAATCTGAGTAGAATGTTATCATTTAAAACCCATCTACTGTTTTTTTTTTTTTTTTTTTTTTTTTACATTCCTACCTGTACCAGGTGCGATGTGCGGTTTTCGACAGATCTATACGTTTCAGAGCCCCCTGAGTCCGAAAAGCACATTTTCAGCCATTGGTCTGTCTGTGCCAAGATTATCAAAGGAAATTAGTAGACTGATTTTGTTGATTCTTTTTTTATTTTGTAAGGTTTTGAATACCGATGCATGTGACACAAAGCTCCCTGCTTAAATATCGGCTGCGCAAAAAGTGAAAAACATATCTTTCTATAGACTGTAATTTTTTAATTTATCACTTCCCTACCTATACTTGATAAAGAAAGTATTGCGATCGAATTCAATTTCCGATGTGCTGTTTTCGACGGATCTATACGTTTATATACGTATCTATACGTTCAGAGAGGCGTGAAAGAGAGAGAGAAAAAAATCTCAAGTCTGTATCACACCAGTTTTCCTTTTCCATCTATTTTTAACAGAAGTTATAGTCTAACAAAATTAGGCTATGGAAAAAAAGTTTTTGATCTGCAATTTTAGATTTTATTCAATTTCTTATGTAGATCTTCCACAAACCGGTTTACATTGCTTTGGTTTATCAAAGAGGTCGTAGTCGAATCTTTTTTTGATCAATTTTCAGGAAAATAAATTAATTTTTTTTTAATGGCCATATTTTAAGTTATAAAATATTTTCTGAAATTGGTAGGAAAGTCGTGTGAGTGGACAGACAAGATTTTTTTAGTCTCTTCTTCCTTGCCTTTTAGGCTATACGGGATTTTTCCCGAGCTGGAGAAGAGGGCGGAAGAATCATACCGAGTTAAAAGCCTCACCGGGAAAAAGAGTTTGTAATTGTTTTTCCATCTTAAACTTCAGATATGGGGTTGCCGGGCAACACACGGTTCCGTGCACACGCGTTAGTCATCTCGCCACCCCGCCCCCAACCCACCTAATGTAATTATTAGTTGTTCATCCACACAATAATGAACGTGGGGAGGATACAACAAAAATATTTACGACAAACAACGCTGTGGTATTCCTCGCAACCCTATCTATATAAAAATTTATAGGTTTGCGTGGCGAAAAGAGTATTATCTCAAGTCGACCAGTACAGACGTTAAAAAATTTCTCCTCGTCTTTCATGTCTCTATTAATGAATATTAACGATATGTTCGATAAGTTGTGCTAGAATTCACTATTAGCAGTTAATACTACTCTGTTCCTATAGGCAGTAGCATCAACTTATAAAGTCAATCAAATAGGATTTTGAGTTTCTGAAATTACCACGTTAAAAAAATCAACATCTCCAGCTTCATACATACAAGTAGAGAATAACAGTTATAATTTAGCACTTTCAATTTTCGTCTACAGGTGATAAATGGCGTACACGCAGGAAATTGCTTGCACCTAGTTTTCACTTCAAGATACTGGAAACATCAATAGAAACTGTAGATCGGAATGCAAAAGAATTCGTTTCGAATTTACTTGCTTCCGGAAGTAAACCGACTAAAATCGAAGATATGATATGTTTGATGACTCTTAAAAGTATATGTGGTAAGATAATTTAAACTTAAACAAAAATTTCATATTCAAATATTTTTTAAAAAATTATTTAGAACTGTTTTGTATTTCAGAAACAGCGATGGGTGTTGAACTTAATATTGAAGATAAGCAACAAAATGAATATGTAAAAGCTTCCAAAATGTATGGTCTGAAATATAGATTTTATTTATTTTTTCTGTACACTTTATACACCTTGTAAAACTTTTGCAATCATTGCCAGCTGATTATCTCGTGCTATTTTTTTTCATTTGTTTGCATGCAGCTTTACAGCATCTTTGTTGATTCTATCTAGCCATCTTATTTCCGTTAAGTACCAAGTGTTCTCATACAGATGCCAATATAGAGGCATTTATTTTTGTTTAGAGGTTCTCCGAGCTACAGGTCCCACCCCCCTTAACCTCCTTTCCTTCATTACATGCGATATTGATTAACCAGTGTCTATAAGCAGCACTTTATTGTTATTTCTTCGCCATTAACTAGTAATCTAACCCCGGGTAACTCATATAAACGTGCGGAGTATTTTCCTAACAAATCTTTCAACACGTCTTCTAGCGAGTCTCTTAATTTCACCGTGATTGCTTCCAATGAAAGCTATACCATCAGCATATCCAAAGGTTGTATGATTAATTTCGAGGTCTACTAATCCATTTTCACGTGATGTTCTTATCTCCATCGCCAGCGCTAAAGAGAACAACATCGACGAGAGTCCATCTCCCGTACACTTTAATTATAAGTTAAAAACTAATTGATTTTGTAATAAACCAAAACGAGATCAAATATTAAAGACTGAAATATTTACTCCTCTCATAAACATAAATGCATTTAAATATAAACTAATGTAACGACAAATTCAGAAAACCGATTTCTTATTTTATTGAAAGACATTTAGTTACAAATCTGTAGAAAAATAATCGACCCGATTTTCATAAATTTCTCATTAAATATCCATGTTTACAAGAAAAGTATTATTATATATTGGATGTATGTGTTAGGTCTCGAATATAGCTCAAACGGCGCACCAACCCTATCGCCTAAAAAAATAAACGAATTGTTTCCTTTGGAACTGATCATAACAGCGTACCAAACCTAGCACGGACATACGGACATTCGACCCTTATCCTTGCACCAATTAAGTAACCGCTTTGTCAATTCATTAGCCACGACCCTTGCTCATTCAGGTTTTCCTATATCCATATTATTAATATTTAACAATCATAGACACAGTCCAGTACCTTGGCTTTCTTTTAGAATGAAGATTAACGTGGATTATACATACTAGACTTAAAAGGCAAGATCTCAACTAACGATATGGACAGGCTGTATAGATACTGAGTAGAAAATCTCAACTTTCTATTGACATCAAATTACTGATATATTGTACAAAAAAATCCTGAAACCTGTTTGGTCCTATGGACTATAACACTTAGGGAAAGCAAAAATTTTTAACATTAACAGCTCCAATCCTTACAGTCCAAAGTCCTTCGAAAATAGTGGATGCTCTGTTCTATGTAACCATCATCATAATGCTACAGCATGACCTTATTATCCCATTTAGGCATTATTCGATGAAAAAGTAATTATTTTATTTTATTTTCAGTTGCCATGACAGTCTTGTGTATAGATATCTCAGATTTTGGCTGTTTCCTGACTTTATTTATCGTCATTCTAATGCTGGTAAAATATTTTTCAAATGTGCAGATCTTATTCATAATTTCGCTGATCAGGTACAATTTTTTTTGCTTTCAAATATTTACATAAAAAAATTTATCAAGTAAACATTTAGTAGCCAGTTTTTGTTTGCGAATATTAGATGTTTAAAAAAATATACATTACATTTGATAATGATTAATTTAATAATGAATATTTTTTATTTTAAAGAATTATTACAACCAATATGAATCCCAATATTTGGTTGTGATCTCTTAAGGCGGTGTCACACGATGGCTTAAACGTTTGCGCGAATGTTCACAGCAACATTCATAGAAAACCTCGAATGGTTCCGCAAGTGTGATGAGAATGGTGTCCGCAATGTGAGACGAATGTTGGATTTTTATATATGTAGACGTTACGGATATTACAGAAAATTAAAAGTTTATTATAATTAACCTGCAAATTATTATTATAAGTAAATAGGTTCTTGTTTTGTCAGTGATGTAACATTTAATTAATAATTATTATATACACTTTGTGATATCAGGAAATCACTCCAGGAAAAAAATGAAGCTTTGTTGAAAAATTTATATAACAACTACACAAAATAACTTCATTCCTCTACATAAACATCACACTATCAGGAACAAAGAACTACTACTGCCTAGGTAACCTCACCCAAACCAATCTACTTTGCTCATAACAACTTAGCAGTGCTGCCTGATAACAAGCATTAACTGTACATACTTTATTATCAAGATTTGAAATCGATAATTATTTTTTCCACAAAATCATGTAATAATTATTATATTTGATTTATAATTTTAAAATTATGAATAAAATTTAAATAGATCTTTATGTTTATTGATTAGATTAAAAATAATGATACATTTTTACATAAACAATAATGATTAAATTGTGATAAAAACCAATTTTGATCAGAATATAAAACCCACATTTTACACATAAATTAATATTGATATGAATGGATTTGTTATTAAAGTACAAATTTTTTAATTAACTTTAATTATGCACGCGGTACCTGCGCTATTCCTATATGTATTTATTTACTTTTTTTTGTTTCGTAAGCCCAAATTTCGAATAAATTTCTGAAATAAAGATGTTATGTTGCATTAGAAAAGTTTTGTTGAAAAATAATGATAAGGATATGATTTTTATCACTTCTGAGCAAAAATAAATATCGCTCTTAATAAAAATCATCAAATGTTTTGATCAATTTTACATCAAAACTAATTATATCCTTATTTAAGTGTTGTGTTATATTCTTATTTTTAATTTTATTGGATTTATTTTAATTTCAATTAAAATTTTGTTTCACTTCTACTACATTTTTTACACCAAGATTATATAGATCATAAGCACAACTCAAGGCAGATAATTTATCTGATGGTCTGTTTATATAAATTATAATTAGTTTTAAATTTTTTTACATGCTCTGAACGTTTAGGACATCGTGTGACTAAAGAAGGCATCGTTTGACCGGGCCTATGCATGAACATTCGTCACTCCACATTCGCGACTCGCCATTCCCAATAAGGTCCCACGATGCCTTAAGTGTCCTGCAGCGCGAACGTTCATAGCACTTAGGCCATCATGTAATATCACTGAGGCTTTAGAGAAACATAAATATCGATATTTTGCCGACGAGTCTAATGAAATACGTCTATATATTTTGTTATTCTCAAGGGACTGTGTCCCAGAATAAAGTTATTTTTCTATCTATCTATCTATCTAAAAATATTAATATTTATTAAAATTTATAAAATAAGGATTCATGGATGTACATATTAATCAGTTAAGTGCAAAATAAATAAATAAATATATATATATATATATCGAAAAAATCATACAGTTAATCCAAAGGAGATTTTGATTAATGATGGTAAGGGCAATGCAAAATAAGATAATTAGCAGGGAAGTACACACCTATGAAAATTATTATTATACACGGCAAAATGTATACTTGAATTATGAAAATAAAATAAAATAACTAATTAACTGAACAATAATAAAATAATTTCGTTAAAAACAAAAACATACTCCAAAAAGTCCTTTATATTTGTCATGTCCATTGTATTTCAACATAATTTCTTTTAATTTTATTCTTCTTCTGTTGGGATAGCTAGAAGGGTATTTCATATCTTGGTTGTTTATTATTGTCTATCTATTTCTAAGTTTTGTCCAAAGTTAGCTGGGAGCTAAAGTTATCCAGTAAGGAAGCAAGATTTATAAAAGAAACTTGCCTCACAGGCACTGATTTGAACTATAAACCAAGTAATGTTTGAGCTATTTGTCAACTGATGGGACTGAAGACTTACTCGCCTAAATATTTGTTTTTTATTTCGCTAATCATTTTTTGTTGGTACAACAGCCTTAAAATAATTTTAACATTAAAACATTTACATAGTATTAGTCATGAAAGCCATCCTCCAACGAAACCTTACTTACATTATTATATATATTCAATTTTAAGGATGTATTTTTATCATTTAGGTTATTAGTAACAGAAAACAGTTATTCATAGCTGAAAAAACTGGATCTAAGAATAAGAATTCGACAAAAAAAGGTGAGAACAGACTTGAAAAGCTTATTATAGACAGAATTTATTTCTAGAAGTATTTTTCAACTTGATGTTCTCTTACTTAGTATGTGAAGGTTAGTTCCAAAAGGTAAGTGCTCTATATAAATCTGGGTAAAAAACAGAATATTGTTTCCTTTTTTTTTCATTTAGTTATATTCAGTAATTCATAATTACATGGTTTTTGAAGAATTTAACTTTGGGATTTTGTAGGGGTACTTATGAGATAAAAATACTAAAAGTTCCCACTACTTTAACTGTCACTCCATGTTTATAAGCATAGGGGAATCAGCATGCTCTGATTTATTACTTATATCTTGAAAATGTGTCTGTCCTACACAAATTTTGTTCTATCAAAAATTAAAGTGGAGAACATTTAATTAAAAAAATATTTATTTTCCTATTTCCTAAAGTTTTTGAGATACTTGCTTTCTCATATACTATCTAATTGATAGTTACTGGAATAGTTTCTTCCTTTCATTTTATAGGAATATTTATTGAAAGAATATTGCATAAAATTTTGTTTCTTTTCAAAATTAAATATTTTTGAATAACTTATCTTCAGTAATTTTATAGCAGTTTAAAATATTCTACTCACTTGTTTGATTACTTAAGAAAAACTGCATACAACTATTATATTTTTTATTATAGTTCCTTATACACACAAGCTGGTTTGTCGAATATTTATCCATAAGATGCTTTGTTGATAACAAATACTAACATGACAATACTATATGATTGTTAAAGTATATATAAATATATAGGCGTTTCTGCAAACATTCATTTGGTTATGCTATAGTAAAGCAATTATTGATATGATTTGGAGCAATTTATGTATTTTATGTTCATATTGCTTCCTTACTTACTTCGATGGCTTCTACAACCCAGAGTGAATCTTGGCCTCTTATAAGAGCTTCCGCCATCCAACTCAGTCTCTGGCCACCGCCTTCCAGTTCTGTTGGTGATATCCTTGTGTCTGCAGCCACACCGTCGATCCATCTAAACCTGTCTTCCTCTTCTATCTGTTTGGTCTAGGACCTCCTCCATAACTTTTTTAGATATAAAATTAAATTCAGCCTTAAAATATATAAAATTAAATTAGTGAATAATTTGATGAAGTTTTCCTTTACAATATTCCAACAGTATCCAGTTACAATTAGTGTGACAATTTTTGACCTGTCTATGACAGACAATGCAAATCTCTTAATTCCATTTTAATAAACTTTGTAATGGAAAATAACAGTTTAATAACTAATAATCCTGCAATCCATAATCGACGGATCGTAAAATCCATGATCAATGGTATTATCCATCATGGTATCCATATCATCGGTTGATTATGGATTGTACCATAATCAACCGATGATATAATAAATAGGACTTTTGTTATTTTAATCGTATTTATGATTTTTAGGCTTTAGCTTGGTTAAAAATGCAATTAAAAAATTTATAATATCCCAACATGACCAAAAAATAATTTCTATTCAAAGTTGAGCAGTAATTGAAAGTTGTGTGTTGCATGCACCAGATTTTTGTTTCCAAGATCCTGCAGCATTCTTCATCAAACCATTCTTCACTAGCCTCTTTCTGCTTATCTCCCACTACTAACCTTTATCTGAAGTTTAGTAAAAAGTTTTTGATCTCCAAGAGTAGAGGGGAGAATTTAGTTCCTGTTTGATTTTACTGGTGTGATTCAATAATTGTACATTGAAAGGTTAAACTTAAAATATGAAAATAAATAAATGCAGATTTTATTTATTAATATTTTTAGATTTGATATGTCAAAGTGGTCTACAATGTTATAATTACCATTTCATAAAGTTATAATTACCAAAGACAACTTTAGTATACTATGATAATTAATTTTTTTCAGTGATTATATTTTTTTTTATTTTTTAATAACTTATGTTGATGTTATAGCAAGAAATGCTTTTCTGGATAATTTACTTGAATTAGATGATTCCAATCCTGGTTTATTCACAGAATCTGATATCAGAGAAGAAGTTGACACTATTATGGTTGCGGTAACTGATTTTTCTAATTATAATATTTTATGAAAAGTTTTGTTTGTATGAAGTTTTTACTTTTCAAAATTGATTACAGATTTCAAAGGATTTTATAGTTATTTATAAATGGATTTTTATAATATATGTATTTATGTAAACTAAATTTTTATCTATTTTAGAAAATATGAAACAAGGCCTTTGTCACACTTTCCTCTCTCCTATAAATATATTTTTTATGAAATATTAATAGGATTGTAGAAAAAAAAAATATTTTATTTGAGAAAATGAAATAGAACCTTTTCATTTTATCATAACACTATTTTCTCCCTAAAAATCTAAAAAATAATACAAATAATTATTTTTATAATAATGTCACGTTTTCAATTTGAATTTAATAACAATGTCAATTTTAATGGTTGCATTATAAACAAATACACGTACTAAGCATGTGTAGATAATGAGCTTTTGTTTGTCTACTGAACTAATTGGACATGCAGCCATTGAAATGTGAATTCTATAAGTTCCTGTAGGTGGTAAATCTAATTAATTTGATCACTCTGTTGGTTAATAAATATTGTTTGTATATTTTTTAAAAATTGTATACACCTGGATAGTTAAATTCACAGATTTTTTAATTACAGAAAAAAAAAAACCTTTACCTTCACTTTAGGATATAATATGTTCTTTCAACTACAGATCACCTCCAAAAAAGGTGGTCACTACTTCAAGCTAATAAAATGAAATTTATAATTAAGGTAGGCAGTCAATAGAACTTGTCTTTAATAATTGAAATATATTTTTTAACTGTTTATCAAAAATCATCAAGCATATAATATCCTATAATCATTATGAGTCATCATTCAATTTTTTACAAAAAAAATTAATAATGTACTCATTATTGTGAATAAAATCCGTTTTAATTTCAAAAGATACCATGTTTTAGTTATTACAAGTTTCCTTTGGTTAATATATACGTGGCTGATTAATTTAACCATATGTATCTGATAACCGAAAACATAAAGATGGTTTTGAAAAACAAAAATGAAATAACATTAAGTATAATAAAATATGGATAATTGTAAATTAATTTAATTTTTAAATTAATAACGACACATTGCAGGGTCATAATCCATCTTCAACAGCTTTGATGTTTTTACACTTTTTACTGGCCAACCACCCAGATGTTCAGGTGTGTATACATAATCAAACTTAGAGATTAATCTATGATATGGGTATATCACTATTGAAATCCAAATATAATTTAATTTAATTTTCTAAGAAATTACAAGAATGCTTTTTAATATTCCTTTACAGATTACAGATAAAATAAATAACAATAGACGACGTTTTTTTCTCTCGATGGAATAACTCTTTCATATAAACAGATACGTCTATTTCTAGGAAAATACAAACTGGCGACGACCAATTTGTCTCAAAAAAAAAAATTATTTTCAGAAATGAAACACAAATAGCTCGGAAAAACAACCCTTTATGCAGATGCATCAAAAACAGATTGTGACGTAGGATGTGCCGTAATACTGAAAAACCAATGCATCAGATTCAATTTGCACCAAATAAACGGTGTCTTCATATGCAAACTATTCTCCATATATCAGACCTTGTTATTACTAACATAAAAAAACATAAAAAATGGCGTTATAGTTACATACTATTTAAGCTCATTATTGGCCATTACCGAAGGGAACTCCGACAATGCCATTTCCAGAAAAATCAAAAATTGCCTTTGGGAAATGAAGACGTCGCCGGACAGAGACATCGTCCTCGCATGGGTATCCTCACATTGTGGTATATCTGGAAACGAAGCTGCAGACCGAGCTGCGAACCTCGCAAGAAGAAAAACAAATGTAACCACTGCTGACTGAAGATTGGAATGCAAAAAAAAAGTGCTAAATAAAAAATGGCAATTTAATTGGAATCAATCTATAAATAAATTGAAAGAAATTAAAAAAGATATCCAACCATGGACAGCCTCTTTCAGAAAGAACAGAGCAGAGGAAATAATTTTAACTCGACTTAGAATAGGGAATGCAGCCTTTACCTAATGAGAAGTCTGGAACCACCATTTTGTAAAACATGCAACACATCACTTACACTGAAATACGTTGTAACAACTTGCAGACTATACTCTGACACCAGAACAAAACAGAATATACCTTTCAGCATATCTGACGCACTTTCTGATGACGAAGAGAAGAAAGTATTTGAATTCATAAAATACATTAAATTTGTCCACCTAATTTAATTCCACCTAAAGCCGGGTCATTCGCTCGGCTAGATGCGGAATGTAACAATAACATAAAAAATCATCTGAAGAATACATAAAAAATCAAAATTAAAAGGGAAGATAAAGGATAAAAATGATAAAACTATGAATAGATCCCAATTATACCATTTAAATATTATTGGTATTATTCCCTTCATATCTAAATTTTATTGTTAAATTAAGATTTCAATATTGAAGGACGTCTTTTAAGGTAATGGAAAAAGGGGGATTTGAATGAAGGAAGGAAAGGAGCTTTACAGCTCCTTAAGTGTCATGAACGGGATGTTCAAAGGTTTTAATTCTGTTGTAAAGAATATAGAGGTTAGAAACGGAAGATCTTATTTTCTGATAGTAAACCAAGGGTTTAAGTTGTAAGGGACTGAAAATGGAAGAAGGGTGCTGGGTATTGATAGTTTGGTATAATATGGACCCCAAAAAATATTGTTTGGGGAAGAAGAGAAGAGTCACTTTAATTAGCCATTAAAGTGGGACACCTGAGACCGCCTTCAGGTACTGAAATCAGGGGTGCGCTTTTCCCCAGAGGTCAATGGCACAATAACTTACCTCCTCCCCCCACTTCTCCCAAGATATTTTATTCCTCACCTTTCTTAAAAACAGAACAGCACGCGTTAGATCTATTCATTAGTATGAAAATTCATAACCACGTCAAAACATGCCAGCCTAAAAATTTTTTTATGAAACTCTCTTCTGGGCACCCTTGCCGGAGATTGATCTTTACTAGAAAACTTTCTGAACCTCTCCAGTAAAATCGAGAGGCCTTTTGACTACTACAACTCAGCAGTAGTCTAAGTGGAGAAAAATGAGTGAGAATACAAAGAGATTGTGTGTAGATTGCAGAAGAAATAGGCGATAGCAACAAAATAAATTGTTGATTGAACCTTCTGAAAATATTAGCAATATGATGTTTCGAGAAAAATGATTGGCCAACACTAAAAATCAAGTTTTTAACAAAGGCTAAATGTAAATGATAAGTCAGGACTTATGTTTTTGTCAAATGTTAAACGTAATTGTACTGCAGTAATGATAAAAATATGAGAATTCTTCCAAAAAAAAATAAGAGCTATGATGGTAATTGCAGGAATCAGGTCAGTAATTATGAGCCTCTTATTTTACAATCTGGTTTCTGACTAAATTTAAGAGCAGTTTAGATTGCTATGTAGACATCTAAATTTTACATTGTTACAATGCATTACCCAGAAACAAATAAAAATAAATCAAACATTATATCATTTATTTTTAGGAAAAGGTATATGATGAACAGATGGATATATTTGGGGATGATATAAGAACTCCAACGGCCCAAGAACTTAAGAAAATGATTTACTTAGAGATGGTGATCAAGGAAACACTAAGATTATACCCAAGCATCCCGTTTCATAGCAGGTTATTGCAAGAAGATCTACGGATTGGTATTTAGATTTTATACACTTCGAAAATAAATAAACTAATTATCAAAATTAATTAAAAATGAAATTTAAAAAAAAATATTTGTTTTTAATTTGTATAGATGAACACACTGTTATTCCAGCGGGTTACACTTTCGGAATATTTAATTACTGCATTCATCGGTCCGAAAAGTACTGGAATAATCCAGAGGAGTTCATTCCTGAAAGATTCGCTTCGGGAAATGAAATACATCCATTTTCATTTATTCCGTTTTCAGCAGGCCCAAGAAGTTGCATAGGTAATGCTACAGGTTGATATTTTTAGCCTCGAAGACTTGAATCTGTTGGCTGTTTGATAATATTAATTAGTTTTACAGGCCAGAAATACGCAATGATGGAACTGAAGACAATCATGTCAAGAGTGGTGCGGCAGTGTTGGCTAGAACCTGTCACGACTACAATAAGTGTAGACTACGGTATTACATTAACTTCAACAGAACCGATACTCCTGAAGGCCTTTCCAAGGAATGCAACTCGAAGAATGATCTCTACGTGTAATATTTAAGATTCGGCTTGGAAATAAAGTATTAAAACTATTTACTCGTTGTAGACGACATAAACTTGAAATGCGTCTAAGATGAATAAACCTTTTTTATATTTTTCTTGTAATATTTATTTCTGTTTCAACAAGATGGTACCTTTATTTCTGTATATTCAGTTCCCTACCGTACCTGATAGACAATACAGGTTGTAGCAACAGTTAGATGTTACACATATCTGCGTAACAACTCACTGCTTCTAGAAAAACAATGATCTGGGTACATAGCTTGATTGTATTGTATTGTTATTGGTCTTCTTCTAAACCTTTGTCCGGCGGCTTTCCAGGTGTTGCACCTCCTCTTCTTCCCAAGAAGAAATGAGTTAGACCTTTAGTTGTTTTCCACCCTGTCAGAGAATCCTTGAAGTACGGATAGCATTCCACATGTCCTGACAGTGGAAGAAATTTATTTTTACATAGATATATTTGGGGATGATATAAGAACTCCGATGGCCTAAGATCTTCAGAAAATGATTTACCTAGAGATGGTGATCAAGGAAACACTATGGTTATACCCAAGCATCCCGTTTCATAGCAGGTTATTGCACGAAGATCTATGGATTGGTATTTATTTGTAGTTCATAGGGGGGAGGCATGCGTGTGTTACAGCATTTTTGTATTATTTATTAAACACGTCCACTGTACTTTATGCATTTTATGAATTAGGTTAGGAAGAGAGAGGAGAGAATATGAGGAGTAGGAAAAATGTATAAGTGGAGAGAAGGAAGAGAAGAGGAAGAGAGAAAGGGGTATAGAATGATAATAAATGATTGAAAGAAATATTTAAAAAAAAAGAAAAATAAATAGGAAAAAAATAATAGTACATATATTTAAATATATAAAAATATATTGTATACTATGCTCATACATATTGTTAATCCTATATAATTGTATATTAGTTTTAAAAAATAGTCTGTATTGATTAATAAGTATGCTCTGTTTGTAGCAACCCGATGTAATTGGGTAGCACCCTATGATAATAAAATAATTCTCTCTCAACAGCCTTCATCATATTTAAACGATAACTCCTTTAACTCTATAGCGAGGGTGGACTTATATACAAGGTGTCCCGTAATTAGAGGGAAAAATTTAAAAGGTTGATAGTAGACTTGATATCAATCAAAGGGACTTAGTCTCAGAATAAAATTATTTTCTATTCTATTCTATTCTAAATATTGGTACATAGTAAACTATACAAAATTTACTTTAAACTAAAGTAAAATATAAAAAAAAAAAATAAACTTTTAAAACATTTAAAGAGAACTATAAAGCTAACAAATTCAGCTGTTTTGTTCGAAAAAGTCATTATTTTAAATTTGTAATTAAAAAAAAAAAATTATTTATGATTTTTTTTTTTATCATCCTTCAACTGTACTACAGTTACCCCATTTTTCAAAAACCTTGCTCGTTTAATAAGCTATAAGTCAATATTAAACAAATTGGAGATTATAAGGAAAATTTTGAGGTTCATCTCAAGATGTGTAAAGAAATTATGTGATTTTCAATCCAGTCACCTAACAGTACACGTATTTTCAGCAAAAATGACTAAAATAACCTGTTGCAAAGCTTTTATTTCTTCTTTTTCCGTGATATAATATGTATTTTCATAAACATGATTGCCTAAAAAGACTTTTTTTTTTATAAAAATAAGTAATTTAAAAATAATGATTTTTCAAATATTTTCATACAAAGTAGTTATGAAAGAAACTGTGTTTTTCTTCCAGATTTCTGTCATATGAATTGATCTCTATTTATCAGTGACAAACTTAATGTTTGTCATGATGTTGATCTGAACTTTTTTGTAGATATTGATGTCAACTATCAACCTTTTAAATGTATCCTTCTACTTGAGGACACCCTGTATAAGTCGTGGCCTGGTTAAGGTGGACTCACAACGAGTCTGAAGCTCTCTCTCGTGATACGATGGAGTGCCTAGTTACATTACCAATTCTACTTTCAAACAGTCTTATATGATCCAGTAGATAATTTTTCTGTGGCTGGAGATTATGGGCATTTTTGAACAATGTCTAAATGTACTCATTAGGCAGGTGTATGTAACTAACTGACTTATATATTTCGAATTTAATGTGGGTGAAACCTCAGAGTTCATCGTTTACAATTATTAAGAAGTGTCTATAGTTTATTTACTTCAGGCGTATGAAATCAAGACTTGCCAATAGTGATCAACATTTATGATTACTGCTACCAATCATAGATTAATGTAAAAAAGACTAAACTGAGATTAGTGTGTTCCAATCAACAATTATAATGCTTTTTGTACAAAAAGGTTTATAATTGTATTTATTTAATTGATTTTTTTTTCTCCCTTAACCCCACTACAACAAAATTTGACATCATTAAACTGTTTTTCTATTCATATAAAATTGTATTAACCGGCAGACAAACATTTATATCTGTATCGCAGAGGCAAAAATGGTTATAATCGTAATCACCAATTATGATTATCCCTTTGTTCAATAAGTGTTAGATTGTTCACACTCTTAATTTTTCAGAAAAAAAAAAAAAAAAAACTATCTGCTTAACACAGAATAATGCACCATCTTCCCATATCATTTCTTTCCCCTTACACTAATTAGGTTTTAATTTTAGATATATCATTAATAAATATGCTAAAGTGAACAGTAAAGACGATGAAAAGTATTCCGTTTTAGGAGCACGGAGATTTGTTGTTTAGTACCGTCCTCAAAGCCTAGCCTATTCATGAAGAATTTGAATTCTAAAAATAATTAGTAAGCCATTTATGAGAGAAATCATTTGGTGTTAAGAAGTAATCCATTATCTGAGGAAATGGATTTAAAGACAGTTAAAAATGAAAATATACATAAATTAACATATATGTATATTTTAAAATAAATTTGTCAAAAAACTAAAAATTAACTAACAAGTTTTAAGTATTACATATTCACAATTATCTTTTTGATGGAATAAGTTAAAATTTTGGAAGTTAAAACCACTAACACATTGATAAAAATACAATATTTATTTAAAATAATCAACTTTATTGTACAAACAATGATTTCGGTCACTATAATTTGTGTTAAAAACATTCTCCTATTCTACTTTTGTTTCTCAATGTGACAACGGTTTTTTTTTTTTTTCGATGCAGGCCAATTGTCGTTACAAACCTTTACAAATTATGTACATTACGTGTTACTTTCAATGAAAACTACTAAACGAAAAAAAAAAAAGTATTTATGATAATTTATTGATATCTTTAATTTTAAAAATGAAATGATTAATATTTTTAATTTAATTTAGACTGATTTTGATCAGATGTTTGGATGTAGATTTTAACGTAGAAAAAATGATAATTTTTAATATTTAATTAATGCAGTTTCGCAAACCGTCACCTTATCACGCTTTGTTTCACAGCCGTTTACTAACATCATTTAAAATACTATTATGTCGGAGAACGGTGAAACAATAAACATTTAACGATTCAACTGAAAGGAATGAATAATTTTAAAAGTAGCAAACAATGAATCAGGACATATATGTCTGAAGCGGATTTTCCTGAAGGATCAAACTCATATCTTTTGATTCATTTAAAATATGATTCAAAGAAGTAGGTATACAGGCATATACTTGGATAAAAACTGGTAAGCCATTAGAGGTTTCATAAACACACATATATATATATATGTATATATTTATATATAAATAAGGCTTCTATAGTAGAGAAATTGAATATTCTACTCCATACATACAAATTACGGTCAGCTAAAGGTAAGCTAACAATGATGCTAATCAAAAATTCCTATTAACATATCAACTATTAATTAATTATTTGCACACTGTGGTGGGGAGAATGATGTATAAATGCCTCCATAGCTTGATTAGAATTCGAAATGGATGATGATGTCCGTCTGTTTGGGTTTGATTTGTGTGCTCCTGGTAGCCCTTGCTGGCTTCCTGGCTAAATACCGAAAGCAATCTACACTACCCGGACCGAGAGGAATTCCATTTTTTGGTAATGTCTGGAATCATATCTTCAGAACGGCTCCCAAAGGTAGTTAAAGTAGTCATATTCGTAATGTAAATTATCTTTTTTTAAACTTTTATTGAGTATTAATACGGTCTACCACACTGATGGGCATTGGTACTAGGGCTAAGTAAATTATCTAAAACCACTAAAATGCAACTAGCATACATCGAAAGTGAATATATTTATATTTTTTCAAAACATAATATTTTCAATGTTTCGGGGTTTTGCTCCATCTTCAGGAAATACACAACAGAGTTAATTTAGCTTGTTAATTGTAAATTAAATAATTCTTATTTTAAAATGTCACAATAATTAATAACGATTATTGAAAATAAATTTTATAAATATCATTAATAATTGCTGTAAAATCTCATTGTAGACTTTATTTTTGCTTCCTCACTACCAAAAGTAGGGAAGCATTGTATTCTTGCGAGAGGTTAAAAAAAATGATGTGTTCAGAATCGAAAATTTCCACTCGCGTTTTACGTTTCAGATATCAAGGATCGAATTTGGTTCGGTGTCTGTCTGTAGTCAAATCGATATGACGGGCATATCACCCAGTACCGTTCATCTGATTTTCATGAATTTTTCAAGAATTGTGCAGGTTGGTGCCTAGATGGACTTATATTAATTTTATCAAATTCCATCCAGCACTTCCTCTTGCGCACGCGCAAATGCCTTTTTTTAGAAATGCCAATATTTTATAAAGGGCTCGTTCGATTTGCCTCAAAGTTAGATATTGATGATAAAATAATGTAGTGTTAATTTTATTGAATTCAGTCCACTACTTTCTCTTACATATGCGCAAACGAGTTTTCCTTGATACGTCTATATCTCTAAAACCGCTCGTCTGATTTGGCTGAAATTGGGAGGGAAGTTAGGGATTGGTAAGCAGATAATCTTCCATGTATCAATTTAATAAAATTCTAACCACCACTCTAAAAAATAATACTCCCGCTCTCGAATCAGTAAACGTATTATTTGGCATGCTTATCGTTTCAAAACTGGGCATTCGATTTGACCCAAACTTGGAAGAAATTTGGAGAATATTATAGAAATTACTAAATATCAATTTCATTGAATTCCATTAAATAATTGAAATTGATATAAATAATTGTTAACAATATAAATGAATGTGGAATGTGGAAGGCATTGATCATCTGGAGTGTGAGTTAGGTTAACACAATATTTTTATGGGATTATACAATTTTAGGTTTTATCCAAAAAGTTAATTTATAATGTATTGTTTGGTCGATTCCAAACGTTACTGGAATGACACTCAATGCCGTTACTTAGATTTCGTGTAATTTTCCATAAATATAAATTAATTTTATTTTTACTCTGTTTGTATAAAAAAAAAAAGTTGTTATTTGTGATTATATTTATTTCTATGGAAGGTCAACTAGCTCTTCGTGTTCTCGATTTCATCCTTAAATATCAAAGTAGTGTGAACTTGACACATATTTTTATATTAGATTTAATTGCAAACAAACAACAGGTTGAATTTTGTCTATTATGTATATATCAATACTATTAGTGTAAAAGGTCGTATAAATACTTTCAACTTTTATTCTATTTGTGCAAAAGGTGACATTTTGTAGTTTGTAACTGATATAAACAGTTTGCTATGATGGTAAATATCAAATAGCAATAAAATATGAAATTATGCTAATAAATCATAAAGAAACAATTAGTTTTTATGCTCTGTTATAAAACATTCAATTTTGACATACGGTCTTTTGCACTTAAAGTAGTGCTCTGGATTTTTTTTTAAAACACAGATCATCAAATATGCAATCTGCAAATGCAGAGCTCTTTCAAATTTTAATATTTAATAAACAAAAGTCGTAAATATCAAACCCTTATATGTTCAGGGATTACTAAAACGGCTACTACTACGAAAAATATTAGACCTTGTATTATAGACATTTTTCAGCTAATGAAAGCTGAGGAAGCTATACTGACCTTACTTGGCAACGTTTTTTTTTATAGTTTTACTGCCAAAATTTTTATCTGTAAAAAGTATTTAATTAACATTTCAACGTTCACATTGCAGAAGCCTTCAATCAGAAAAATCATAAGTACTGAGGAGACGAAAACATAAATTAAAATTTAAGCATATTTTTATTTTATGTACTAAATTAAATTGTTAAAGTTTCACAGCTTTTTTTGGGAGGAGGGGGTCCTGCCCTTCCTCGCCTTTAAGGCTATACGGGGTTTTCCCGAGCCAGGGCGTGTGGGCGGGGATTTAAAAGACTCATCCGGCACTGGGACGCGAACTCGTGACTATTTTAAATTCATTGTCTCATTGATCAGGTTGCCGGGCAATGGTTGAATGTTTGAGTCCCTTAATTAATAAATTTTACTTTCATTAACCATTTATATGTAATATATACTAAGGGAAATTATTATGATTGTGAATTTTTTTTTCTCAATTGAAATGCACGTTTTGATGTTTTTAAGTTCACATAACCAAGTCCAAATGGTCTGTCTGTGTGTCCGTTTAATTTTGAATTATTAACTGTTTCTCATTATTAGTAGGAATAAAAAATGGCTTGATATAATCTATGAAATAATTTGGCAATGGAATTTTGATCAACAATGGCCTTAACATTGCTCGTTTCAATTTAATGTAGGCCACTAGACCGTTGATCTCAAAATTTCCTGAATGAAATTTGGCAAACTAATTTTGAGAGGTACGTTCGGTTAAGGCATCATTCTCATAAATACTGCTAATTTTTCTATGATCTTCTGCATCACGCTTACCATTTTTAAAATAATAGAACAAAATATGCCGATATTTTCTTCTATATTCACCTTGCAATAGCAAACACAATACTAAGCTGGTTTCAACAAACGTTAACAGATATAGTTGTTAGCATATTACAAATAGGATAAACAGTCCACCTTACGAATTAATTCATCAGATAAGAAGTGTACCAAAGTGACATAAACATAAACATAAATACTGAAAAGACTTATTTGCCAACCCTATTTTATTAAAATGTTTACCCTTGTATGTTTCAGAAATCTTACCCAAATTAAAGCGTTTTATTAACAAGTACGGAAGTATATTTGAATTGAGAATGTTTGGTATACACTACGTATTCGTGTCAGAACCAGAACTTGTCAAGGTAAAATTAGATTATAATATCTCTATTAATAATTACAGCCTTTTTATTAAATTAATAATTAATATTTACATGAATAGGGCCGAGAAGATTGAGCGTGCTAAGGTGCTTGCAATAGGTAATGAATGTGGTAAGCACTTGGATGTGTGACCGTCCACCGAAGGAAACCTCGCTGTCCGTGATTTTCCCTTTCCCCAGCTACTGTGAGCAGCTATGATCTATGGAGCCAGACTGATTTGTCCCAGATTAATCCCAAAGTCAGATCGGCAATCCAGCTATAAGTTAAATATATAAACCAGCTGCTGCATCATAGAGATCATAGTCCATACCAAGATGAGGTCGGATGACCTCCTTCAGGTTATCTGTGCTGCCCTAGAAGTATACGTCTATAAGAAGAACAAATCTCTTCCGTTTAAACGTTTAAATAATCTAAATAGCACCAACAGGGTTGTCAGTTGAAGTAGTAACAGTATTTTTTTTAAATATATAGGAAAGTCTTGTGAGTGGATACAATAGATTTTTAATTAAAATCATTGGAAACAATATATAAAGTGTCTTTACCCTACAACTCTTCCATTCCATATAATTAGAGGGATGGAGGGATGGTTATCAACATCTTTCTTAATTCTCAATTTTATTTATTTCGTTGGACTCTCCAATGTTTACGTCAATAAAACATCTAAATAATGTGCCTTTGGGGTAGAGGCATTAGCAAAATTTAAAAAAATAAATAAAAAATAATTGATGACATTGTATAGATTGCCTTTATTCTACAACTCTTCCATTCCAAGATGGTTCCGCTATCTTACTATTATAGGAAATAATATCTTCCTTGACAATACCTTTAATTTATTTTCAATTAAATGTTGTTAATTTGGTTGGACTTTACTGTGTTTATGTACATGTACATATTTTTTAGTGTTTTTCTAAGATTGAAAGTAACATATTTAATAAATAGTAATAAGCTGATAGGTAACTGCAAGACTCGGTCTCGTCTGGGTTTTGATGATGATTAGTTGATCAGTTTCAGACGATTCCTCTGTGCAAGGGTATCCATCCACCAAAGGTCCATTGCGCAAGAACCCACTCCCCTTCCCCCAATATATTTTATTACTCACTTTTTCGTAATAACAGAGCAAGCTAAGGTAGAATTAGAAAAATCGTAGATCGTATACAATTACACTTGCTGCGCACTGTTCCATGTTTCCATTTGTCCCCTGTCTCCTGTCTGGGCACCTCTACCTCTTCGTTCGAAACCATACGATTCCTTCCAGGCTGTGCCATAGATAATTTTTTGTCCGATGATCAACAGAATACAGAATATGCATCAATGAATATCTCTTTATTCTGTAGGTGGCGCATTAGAGGGTTATTTAATTAATCTTAAGTTGTAATAAATAATATAGTTAAAGTTTTCAGTGGAAGATTTTACACTGATATATTTTGAAGTATTTCGAGCTTGCGAGCTTTTTTTTACTCCTACCTCGCCTTTTCGTCAAAAAGTCGAGTTAAAAGCCTGCCGTTCCGAGACTGGAACTCGTATCTATCAGGTTACTGGATAATGCGTGTTTCGCATAAGTGTTAGCCGGGGCTCAGCCATTCCGCCATTTCTCCTCCTCCTACCCTCCCACAGCTTACGAGATATCATTTCTTACCGATCGTAAAATAATCAACTGCTGACCAGACCGGTTTCAAAACTTCGGACATATACAAACATCTGTCTGTCCTCAGAAATGGAGTAAGGGAATCAACACAAAGATTTTAAAAAATAAAAGTAAATGAAATAAATACAACTTTCTTTTCATATCATTTCCAACAATATTTTTTAACCTTCTGTTTCAAATAAACATTGATATTTGATTATAATTTATTAAATTAGCTATATAATTTATAAATCATTTGTCAAATACACTTATACAATAATAACTTTCTTTCAGGCACTACTGAGTAGCTCTACGAACGTTACAAAAGGTCGCTTCGAGTACTCATTCTTCAGACCGTTGTTCCACGATGGACTTATAGTTTCTGAGGGTTAGTCAATCAACTAATGTAAAATTGCATTTATTAAATAGTTTTAAGGGTAATCATTACTTGTGCAATGCAATCATCGAAGTCTTATAACCTTCAGTAAAAACAAAAAGTCAAACAAAAAATCTGAGTTTTCAACGGAAATATGCGTTTTATGGTCCCCAATAACCAAGTTTCGAAAAACTGGTCAGTGTGTGTGTGATCATCCCTGCTCAAAAAATGAAAAGTACGAAACTGGTATTACGTATTTAATATAAGTATATGCTTGTGATGTTACAGCAACGTTTTCTTGAAAATTGGAATTCTGGAAGTGCCGCTTTATATCAGCGATTTTAAATTTTTTTACGGATTTCATAAAAAAGGCTATAACGATTTTGATTAAACTCTGTATCTTAATGTAAAATGTAATGGACTTCATTATCATTTCAGTGTTATTCCCATTGGTGTAACTTAACATCGCTTAAATACCCAATGCTCAAAATTTCAACCTCTAAATTTCATATAATTTGGTTAATTTTGAATAATTAGCTACTCTCATTGTTAGTAATAAAAAATCCATCTAGTGCGAGCATCACACAATTTTCATTCACCGCTCTACTTCAAAAAGCAATTATTTTTTTTTTAGTTTTTGAAGGGCATTTTTAATGGAGCTAAACGTAAAACAACATATTTTTGAATTTCGTTCATATTAATCAATACCAACACTCATTAAGACCATCAAAATAATATAAACCGTATTTATTTTATTATACTTTTTTGTTTCTTGAGATCCTTTTGGAATGGTATCTGCTTATCTAGCTGCTCTAATGCTGTTCAATCCAACGGAGGGCGCGTCCCCTGGCAGAATTTGCTACCGCTGGTCATGATAATAATATTTTTTTTTATTACATTAGGAAATTCGTGAATGATAATGAATTTTCCTTATATTTCTCTTTTATTCAAATAGGTGTTTTTGTCACTTTTTTCGGAATTTTTCCCACCAATTAAAGGAGGACGCGCTTTCTGGCAGAATTCGCTAGTGCTGGTCACAATAATATTTTTTTTATATCACAGAAAATTCGTCTTAGAGGACGAATTTTCCTTATATTTTCCTTTTCTTTAAATAGGTGTTTTTTGAAGGGAGGTTTCCACCATCCAAAGAAGGACGCGTGCTGTCTTTGTACTGTATTTGATAAACTTACAATTCTGTGAAATTTGTAAGACTTGTAAATAACCAAAGAAAGTTAAATATAAATAATTAGTTTTGGCGGGAATAGTGAATAGCCTTCCGCTTTTATCGGGGGACTAGGTTATTTACACACGTGATTATTAAAACAAAACCCCTGCACTGGATATAACCTGTTTGAGGGTGTTTAACTGTTGTTGGGAATTCGGGAATCTAATACCTTTTGTGACACTGAATGAGAAGAAACAATAAGAATATATATATGAAATGTGGGACTTAGTAAATACACTTTGAATGAATTGACTCACCTTGTTTATTATTCTTCAATCGTGAGGCCTAAATGACAACTAAATAAAATGACTTTTCGCTCCTGTATAATAAAACAATTTATTTTATAAATGTAATAAATGAATGTATAAAAGTCTTATAACTGTAGGCTTGATTTCTTAGTCTTCAATGTAGTGTCTCTCTCTTCTGATAACCTTCTTTCTTCCTGTCCAGGCCTAGCGTCCTCTCACCTCCGTGTCCCAGCGTCAAGTGCCTCTCCAGCTGTTGCTACCTGACCGGACCTTTTTCCTTCTTCATCGATTGTTTATCGATATGAGACTTTCCAATGAACAATTTGTCCGCTGCACAATTGAGTACAATTCACAGTGCAACCTCACATTCCTATATATTATATATTCCTTCTCATTCCCTCACACAATGTCACATAAAGGAGTAAATAGCGGGGGATGTCTACTACAGACTGTTACTTATAGTTATATTTATATTATTAATTATTTATAATTACTTATGCTATTTATAGCTAGAAATATTCTCTAAATAGTGTTTAAAATTTTAATATCAATAAATCTGTAATAAATATTAAAATAATATTCTTTCTGGAATCAGATATTTTTTTTATAATTCATGAATTTTAAAACTGTACTCAAATAACAATATATTCAGTAAATGAAATACAGGAAAATACATGGCATGACAAGACTTTTAGAGAATCTACTCATTAGTATCATTCTAATAAAGTATCTAAATTAGGAGATCACGAGGCCATCTCTTTTTCAGACATCTCGAGAGGAGGTAATTCAATGTAAATAACAATATTGTGGCGGATCAAATAGGTTTTTTGTTTAGAAGTAAGCTCTTCTGTGCATACAGATTATGATAGAACCCATACAATATGGAATAATTAAACTAAACCAAATAATTAAACTAATATTCGTGTGTTCCAACAAACTCGTTAGCTATACACATGAATACAGGCTAATAATTATTATTATATTTACATGGTTAATTTTTGTGAACAGGCAAAAAGTGGCGTTCACGCAGGAAAATATTAGAACCTAGTTTTCACTTCAAAATACTGAAAAAATCTATAGAAACTGTAAGTCGGAATGCAGAGGAATTTGTTTCTCACTTACTCAACTCCGGAGGGGAACCGACTGAAATCGAAGATATGATTTATTTGTTAACTCTTAAAATAATATGTGGTAAGAAATTCAAATTTAATTATTTTTTTAATTATTTGCTTTTTTTTATCAAAAAATATCAAGTAATTAACATATGCTAAACAGTTTAATAATATATATATATATATATAATTTATGAGTAATATTGATATTATTTTTATGAAGGGATTTAGAAAAATATATCAATAAAGTAATAGGGTGTATAAAAAAAAAAATACAGTTTTCAACCAAATATTTGTATTATTTATTATTTCTTTGATATAAAATACAATTAATACTCCAATAAAGTATAGGCCATTGTTATCTACCATCATTAGCCATCTGCTAGCCAATTGCTCGATCCCACGCGGATCCCATTCTTTGGATTGGCTGTCAAAGAAATTTTGGACCGCAGTTTCAATTTCCGCAAAATTATCAAATTTTTTCCCTTGAAGAAAATGGGCCATGGGTCTAAATAAGTGGAAATCCGATGGTGAGAGATCTGGACTATATGATGGATGAGGCAGGAGTTTGAACCCAAAAAATTATTTAAACTTTTCTTTGGTTCAACTGGAAGTGTGAGGATGAGCATTATCTTGTTCGAATAAAATTTCTTTTCGGTTGATCAAAGCAGGATAATGGTGTGACAAATTCGCGTACAATCTTTCCAGTTGTTCGCAGTAGAGTTCAGAATTTATTCAGAATCCATCAGGAACAAATTCGTGATGAATAACACCTTCAAAATTAAGAACAAATGCAATCATGGATTTTTTTTTTCAAATTGCTTCCTTGCAGCACCTAGAAGTGCAGTTTGACTGCGATCTAGCCATTGCTCACGGGTATTCAGATTTTGCCAGTAAACCCACTTTTCTTGACAATCTTCTTGTAAAATCTCATAGCAGAATGGTTCTTCAATAAATTTTCACAAATTTCTAACCTCTTAGCGTATCGCTGATTTCAAAAATGAAAAAAAAAAATGCTCTTTTTTGGTTTTACCATATTCAGGTTTATTTCTGACACTATGTTGTGTTTCAGAAACAGCGATGGGTGTTAAACTGAATACAAAAGATGAGCAACAAAATGACTACATAAAAGCTTCAAAAATGTAAGCTTTAGAACATAAATTTCATTTTTGTGACTAAATAAAAGTAGTTGATTTTACACTTCATTGGTTTCTAGACTTTATGTTAAACTAAACCACTTCTTGTAACCACATTATTGAGTGTACCACCAATATCTGAACATATAGCGTTATGTAGTATTAAGTATTAGTCTTAATAAAAATATCAGATTAATATAGCATTTGGAATAATTCAGATCAAAGAAGAAGAAGAATTATCAAAATATAAATCAAAATAAAGCTCTGGAGCCGCACTTTGTCGACCACTTACCTAGACCAAGTCCAGATGAATATTATACAAATTTTTGAACACCATACAGATTTTTAGTCTAAAATCTTTATTTTGCATTAGGAGAGTAGAAGGTAACCGCAGCTCAATACATATGAAATTAAATTAACAGCTGTATAATTTGTTAAATAATCGCCTACTAAGTTGAGCTCCTGTAATCTCATACTCACCTATTACTAAAATAAAATAAAATATGAAATTCACTAAAAAATTTTTTATATAATAGAGAAATATAATATTCTGTCACTTGGACAATAATTATAGTGAGATAAGACAACATTCACACTATATATATATACACAATGTAAAATAAACAGAATCAAAATAACAAATAAATAATAATCAAAAAGATTAAAGATTAAAAAAAAAGTGTTAAAACAGTTTTTGTTTCTCCTGTTAAATAACCTTTTCATGACTTACTACCTTTTCCATGTTAATGCTTCAATTGATAGAAAAAGGCAAATTTTTCATTTCCACAGTATTTTAGTTTAGGGATTACCAATAATTTCTGGACCCATTAAAACCTTAATGAGATACTACAACACGATCTTGTGGTGGAAGAAGACATTGTCCAATTAACAATGATGAACAAAACGTTTATAGTTTTATTTGTATGGAATGTGGGACTATTCACTATCTACCTATCTTAGAAAAAACATTATAATTTAGAACTTAAAAAAAGTAAAATTATCATTAAAAACTTACAATCATTCATAATTTTGTTAATTTGGTTAAGGTCATGGGTGGGAAACAAAAACTTTATCATTTGAAATATTGAATTCGAAAATGTATTTTCTTTTTAAATGTACATTTATAAACATATTCTTACCATTTTTAAGTATTCATAATTTTATTTTGTTTCCAGGAGTCATGACGGCATGGTATATAGATTTTTCAAGTTTTGGTTATATCCCGATTTTATTTATCGCCATTGTAATGCTGGTAAAATGTTTTTCAAATGTGTAGATCTTATTCACAACTTTACCAATCAGGTATTTTTCTTTTCCAGCTTCCAAGTATTTATAAAATATAATGTATTTTAAGTTAAAGCAAGGGTGCCCACAAGGCGGTTTTATAGCTCAAGTTGCGCCATCAAAATTATTGATGAGGGTATATTGTGACGGGTTTTTGATTTTTTGATGGGGTCACATTTCAACAGGGTTATTAATTTTTGGAATGAAAAGTTCCAGAATAAGGGACAAAGGGGAAACATGGAACAGACTGCAGTGTAATTGTATATGATCTATGATTTTTCTAATTCTAATTTCCTTTGCCCTGTTTGCGCCATTGACCTTGAGGAGGATGGGCACCCCTGGGTTAAAGTATAGAGAATGCGGTGGCCGAGCCCTGTAAAGTAACAGTCCAAGAGTGACCTATACTGTGCATTATGGGTTAGGTTCCTACCTGGATCAGTTAGTATTCATTTCTTGGGGGTCCCAGAAAATTGATTTTGACACTTCTACTTGGTATAAACGTGGCGACAACCTCAATGTAGTCATATGTTGCCAAAACAGACCTTTAAGCCCACTTGCTTGAGTTCTACCCTCCTTCAAATTTAATCCAATCAATCCCCAAATGACACTAACAAAGGACAAAGGACTGGATTTAAAATATTAATTTAAAAAATAAATAAATACATTAATGTTTAATATAACTATGTATAAAAACGTTTCCAGCAATAAAATTCTTATTTTATATTTTAGTTTATATTAAAAATGTATGCATTTATTGTTGAGTAAATATTTAAATGTTTAGGAAACAATTGTTTCGGTTGATGATTTTATTTTCTATCAGTTCATGAATGAAAACCTTTTCTGGTCACTGTTTTGGCCAGAACCATCTTCCAATGAACCTTTATTTATATTTAATTTTAGATGTTCTGTTCATAGACAATATTTTTATAATTTCCAGGTTATAAGAAACAGAAAAGAATTATTCATTGCTGAAAAAAATGGATCTAACTGTAAGGTTTCAACAAAAAAAGGTAAAAAATAAATTTAAGGTTGGTAAAAAGTACAATTTTCTAAGAGTATTTTTTTTATTTAAAGACCTATTATCCAGAATGTGGACCAAAATTTTATGGATTTTAATAAGGATTACATAGAATAGGAAGCCATGAATTTCAGGTCACTAAACTTAGTAAAAATTGTGTAACTGCAAAATAATTTTAATTGATTGTAAGTTTGTAAAATATATTAACTATTTATTATACCAAGTGTGATATACAAGTGGGATTCCACTTAGGACAAGAAAACTTAGCCACTAAAAATTACATAATTTGGACACAATAAAGATACATTGTTTGCATGTGACTACTTTCTTTAATTATTTTTTTTTTTACTTAATTTCACAGAAGGAAATGCTTTTCTTGATAATTTACTCGAGTTGGAAGATTCTAATCCTGGTTTATTCACAGAATCTGATATCTTTGAAGAAGTTAACACTTTTATGATTGCGGTAATTGTATTCTTTTAATTGTAATCTTTCATGAAATTTTCACTTTTAAAAATTGATATTTCTTAAGAATTGCTGAAATTACCAATTTTGAAAAATTTTATAGCTATTCGTAATTGAATTTGTACAATATTAGTATATGTACTAATTTTTTATCTATTTTTAAAAATAAGAAATAGAACTTTTATTACACTTTTCTCTCTCAGCCAACTTTCTCACAAAAAATAGTAAACTAAAAATTAATGACCTTTTTTAACATGTGTGAATGTCTTAATATGAATGTAATACCTTTCAAAATTCAATAATACATATTCATTATGTGTTGTGTATTTTGTTTTAATCAATTAGTAATCAGTCAGTCAATTGTTTTCAACCATAGCTGTATCAATTTCAAATAAGAATATATTTCATTTATTACAATTATCTTTAGGCTTTGAAATTCGCATCTGAATGAGTTACATCAACGGAAAATGTATCTGTTACAAATAATTTTGAAAACATAAGTCGTACCATAGTACTTATAAAATATGATTTTATATATTTGTTTATTTAGAAATATTACATTCTGTCACATCAAGGACATTTATAATAGTGATCAGAGAAAGCACACTCACACTCTATTTACAATAAAAAAAAAATAAATAATACAGAAACTTAATAATAATAAATACAAAAAAATAAAATAAAAATAAATACAATACAATAAAATAAATGTATATAAACAAAAGAACTAACCTAATCATACACACTCGGGCTTGAGTGGAGGATCTGGCCATTGCCAAAACTCCAATAGATGCTTATTTACAAAAGGTCTCTGGGCCACTGCCGCTTCAACCTTCGAGGAGGATTGTAAGGATGGGTGGTGCTGGATAGAGATTGTGCAAGGGGATTTGGATGATAGGTAAGGTTCTGGTGAAATTTGGAGAATTTTTCTGGAATAAGGTCTAGGACAAATGGGATATTAAGGTCATGGTGTAGGATTTTGTTATTTACATAGAACGGAGCATCAACTATTGTTCGAAGGACTTTAGATTGAAAGGATTGAATACGTTTGATGTTAGAAGCTTTTGCTGTCCCCCACAGTTCAAGTCCGTATGTCCATATAGGTTTCAGTATTGTCTTGTAGATAAGTAATTTGTTTTCAATAGAAAGTTTGGATTTTCTGTTTAGTAGTCTGTATAGCTGGCCGTATCGTCGGTTGAGTTCTTGTCTTTTGAGTCTAGTATGTGGGTTCCACGTTAGTCTTCGGTCTAAATGAAAGCCAAGATACCGGACTGTGTCTGAGTAAGGAAGCTGGATGGAATTAAAGTGTACTGGTGGACAGGAACTGCGTCGGAGTGTAAAGGTGATATGTTGGCATTTAGATTCATTAACTTTAATGCGCCAGTTATTACACCAGTGCTCAATCAAGGTGAGGTGGTTTTGGAGATTTAAGGATGCTATTTCGGGATCAGAGTTGGATGATAAGATTGCGGTGTCGTCAGCGAATGTTGCAAGAAAAGTATCGGGATGAACAGGGATGTCAGCAGTAAAGAGGATGTAAAGCACGGGACCCAAGACGCTTCCTTGGGGAACACCGGCTTTAACGGAGTAGATATTGGAAAATTCTGTTCCACAGCGAACTCGAAAGGAGCGGTCAGAGAGGTAGGATCGGAGGACTAGGTACAAGGACTGAGGTAAATGGATTTTAAGCTTGGAGAGCAGTCCGGAGTGCCACACCCGGTCAAATGCCTGTGCAATGTCCAGAAATGCACCCGAACAGTATTCCTTGTTTTCTAGGGCTGAGGAAATATGATCAACAACTCGGAGTCCTTGTTGAACAGTAGAATGTTGGGAGCGAAAACCAAACTGATGGGAAGGAATATTTTGGGATTCTATAATGGGTAGGATTCGTTTCAAAAGGATCTTTTCAAAAATTTTTGAAAGGATTGGGAGTAGGCTGATTGGTCTATAGGATGTTGAGCTATTGAGAGGTTTTCCTGGTTTTGGGAAGAGGATAATAGTGGAGTGTTTCCATAACAGAGGGAAGTGGGTGGTGCGTAGGATACAATTGTAGATATATGTAAGGAATATGACTGCTTTGGATGGAAGTTGTCGAAGGATTTGAGGTGTAAGGAGATCATGTCCAGGAGCTTTACGGAGGATTAGTTTTTTTAATTGAAATTTTACTTCGGAAGGATGAATAGCTTTTGGGGGCAAGGAAAGTGGGATTGGTGATGTAAGGAGTTCTTCTACTGTTACGGTGTGGGCAGGATGGGATTCCGGATGTGAAATAAATGTATTGGATAGGTGAATGGCGAACTCCTCAGCTTTATCTTCGTCAGATGCTGCCCAGGAGCCATCACCTCGTCGGAGAGGATGGGAAATGCGGTGAGGATTTAGGATTTTTGTTGTGGTTTTCCAAAGGGAATTGTCGCGAGAAGAGAGGGAGGATAGGTAGGAGTTGAAGGATTGTGATCTGAAGGTGGCTAATTCCAGTTTTAATTGTTTGCAGTAGTAATTATAGGAGCAGCGGTCGGTAGGATGTCGGGTACGTTGCCATAATAATCTGGCACGGCGTTTGGTGCGGATTAGGTTAAGGATGTGTTGGGGTAGAATGGTCTTTATAGAAATTCTGGAGGAGTCTTTTGGGAAGGAGGCAGTCCAGGCGGCTTGTTGGATTGTGGTAGTAAAGGAATTTACGGCACTATCAAGGTCATCGGGAGTTTTGAGGGATATGTTGAGATCAATATTATCGGAGATTATTTGGCGGAAAAGGTCCCAGTTTACTGGGCCCCTAATGAATGACGGTGGAGAAGGTTTGGGAACAGGTTCAAGTGAAACATTAAGGATTAGAGGACTATGGTCAGAGGAAAGTTCATTTAGACGTGTAATGGAACAATTGAGGGGACTTAAGCCGCTGTGGATAAAGAAATCAAGAAGATCAGGATTACGGTTGGGATCTGTGGGCCAGTAGGTAGGAGAGTTGGGGGAAAGGAGGTGAAAACGTTGGGAATTGAGTGCAGACAGCAGGGTTCGGCCACGAGAATTCGTGGTTCTGGAACCCCATTGTTGGTGCTTGGCATTTAGGTCTGCACCCAAGATGAAGTGATGTCCTAAGGAGTCGAGGAGAGAACTGAATTGGGCATTGGATATGGATCGGTTAGGAGGGCAATACGCTGATGCAAGAGTGACCGGAAAGGAGAAGGTTTTTATCACGATAGCGGTGGACTGTAGGAAATCATGTATTGGCAATGGGAGTACGTGATGGGAGAGGGATTGGTGTACAATTACAGCAGTACCGGCATGTGCTTTTCCGTCAGGGTGGTCAGTACGATATGTCAGGTATTGTGGTATATTGAAGTGCTGTTTAGTGGTTAGTCGAGTTTCAGTAATTAGTGCCACATCAATGTTCTTGTCAAGTAGTAAAGTAGATAGTTCGTCTGTATGATTTCTAACACCATTCGCATTCCAAAGGAGAATGGATATGGGTTTAGGGATGTGAGTCATTTAAGGATTTTTCAAAGGAGGGATGAGGTGAGATACGAGATTCGTGAGGAGTGATATGAGTGGAGTAACAAGGGATTTGAAATCGGTGAGGAAAGATGCTAACAAACTTGTGAGATCTGTTGCATTTGAAGGAGGAGGAATATGAGGAATTTGTTGTTGGTGGTTAGGTATATTAGGATGAAGAGGATTTTGAGGTTGGGTTTGAGGTTGTTGTTGTGGCAGGGCTTGACATTTATCGGTTAAAGTCTTACCTCTAAGTAGTTGGGAGAATGATACATCATTGTTTACAATTCTGGAAGGCTCTCTCTCTCTTCTTGTTCTTAGTGCTTCATCTTGAATCCGGTTTTTCTGGTGTCTGGTTTTGAGATTCTTGTAAATTTGGCAGCCTTTGTAGTTGGCCGGGTGTCCCTCCAAGCATAGGGCACATACTGCTGGATCTTGTATAGGTTTGGTGCACTCTACAGATTTGTGCTGTTCACCGCACTTCACGCAACGCGGCAGATGGTAGCAATATGTCTTCGTGTGGCCATAGGTCTGACAATTATGGCACTGCACGATGTCTCTCTTGGGATATGGCTTCTCAACTTTCACCATTGTGTAGTATATTCTTGTGATATCATATATTTTTTCGATACCTGGTGATGGCTCCAAGTCCACGAAAAACAATGGTAGTGGGATCCTATTTCGTAATCCTGGCTGCTCCCTGTCCTCCTTCAAAACGTTTGTTACCTGGCGTACATTGAAACCAAGCGTCGTTAGTTCTTCTTTAATAACTTCAGTGGGGGTTGAGGAATGTAAATTTCTTATCACTACTCGTAAAGCTCTTTCCTGCCTCAGCTGGTAAGTGTGAAAATTCGCATTTGTTTCTGATAAGTACTTCACTATTTTTCGGTAGGCTTCTGCAGAATGAGGTGTTATTTTGGTGTCATTGGTTCTGTTAAGGCATGAATAACTGCCAGAGCAGATTTTATTTAGTTGGGTGCAGAACATCTGGAAATTTTTTATATTTTTCACAAATATCGGAGGAGGCTTTGGTTCTCTGGGTATTGCTGCAGACTCCATTACTTCTCTGTCATTTTGAAGCACTTGGTAGGGGTTTGGAGTAAAGAAAGGTGATTCTTCAATCGTTTCTTGTGCAGACGTACCTGGTTGGGGCTGAGGTTCTGGTTCTGAAGTGTTCATTTTGGTCACTGGAGGTATTTCTCGTAGGCAGCGACGAGTCCTTTGTTTGGCTGGTGAGCTAACTCCGTCTGACCGAGACCTCTTGGGCACCTTACTGGCCATCACTTGCTGATCATACCGCATATCATAAGAGAAAAATAAATAAATAAATAAAAAAAAAAAAATAAAAAAATTTTTTTTTTTTTTTTTTTCTTAAAATAACAAAAAAAAAAAAGATGTCAACAGTAAATATCAACTGCTCTGATATACACTTTAACTGTATCACGTGAATAATCAGAGAGATTCCGCTATAAAATTGGTAAAAACTGAGAGAGGAGTTGAGGAGACAACCTTCTCATCAGCTGATCCACTGCCTTCTCATAAAATATGATTAAACTTAAAAACTAATAAAGATCATATTGTAGGGTCATAATCCGTCTGCAGCAACTCTTAATTTTTTGCACTTTTTACTGGCCAACCATCCGGATGTTCAGGTATGTTTTCCATTATCAAACTTAGTGATTAGCCTATCTTAAGATTATAATACTTTTCTTTTTCAAAATAGCAAGAATATTCTTTGCATGATTTCTTTACAGATTATGAAGTTATAATATAAAACTAATGAGTAATAATTCAAAAATGATAAATTGATTTCATAAATTTACTAATTGCTCTTGTTTCTGGAATTCTGTTGCAGCTGTACAGTATACAGCAAAAACTAAATCAAACAGAGGATTATTTATTTTTAGGAAAAGATATACAATGAACAGATGGAAATATTAGGGGATGAGAAAAAAATTCCAACGGCCCAAGATCTTCAAAAAATGATTTACCTCGAGATGGTGATCAAGGAAACATTGAGATTATATCCTACTATACCATTTCAGAGTAGATTAATAGTTGAAGATCTACAAATCGGTAAAAATAAAAAAAAAACTTCTAAAATAATTAAATAAATAAATTAAAATTTACTTTGTTTTTAATTTTTGCAGATGAAAAAATTATCATTCCAGCAGGTCATAATCTTGTAGTGCCAATTTATTTTGTTCATCGATCCAAAAAACATTGGGATAATCCAGAGGAGTTTATTCCTGAAAGATTTACTCCGGGAAATGAAATACATCCATTTTCATTTTTACCGTTTTCAGCTGGACCGAGAAGTTGCATAGGTAATAATATCAATTGTACATTTAATCCTTGATAGATTGAATTTCTTTGTTTATAAGTAATCTTAATTATTTTTACAGGCCAGAAGTATGCAATGATGGAATTAAAGACAATCATGTCAACAGTTTTGCGGAAGTGCTGGCTAGAGCCAGTCACTACTTCAGTTACTCCAGACTATGGCATTATATTAAAACCAGCTGAATCAATAATTGTGAAAGCCTTTCCAAGGAATGGAAATCAATGAATAATCTCTAAGATGAATAATTAAGAATTTAGATGTAAAAAAAAACATTATAGCTATTAACTCATGGTGAAGATTTGCGTAGACATTTAGTTTCTTCAGGATAATGTTCGAGGATATTTTATATGCTTCCTCCAAGAGGGATATTCCTCTGTTATTTCTGCATTGCACTTTATCTCCTTTTATAAGAATCGGACAAATCAAACTAGTCCCCCACTCTTTAGGCATGCTTTCATTCGTCCATATGTCCAAGACCAAATTATATAGATGAGTGAGTATATTCTCGCTACTACTTTTATAGAATTCGGCTATTAGTAAATCATTGCCTGATGCTATATTATTTTTTAGCTTATATCACTCCTGCAAAACAGGTAAGCTATTCTGTCATGTTAGAACAGGATAGCAAAGATACGTTTTGATGTTCGGAAAAAGAAGCATTAGTTAGACTCTCTGTACCAATTAGGACCACTAACATAAAAACACCTACCATTTCTTCCAAAACCTAAAGCTACGGGATGTGTTAAAACAATATTTTTATCTAAATATCGTTTATAAACTCGAACAATGACAAATTGATTCAATACACTTTATTATTGTAATTGTTTGGTCATCATTCTGTCAATCAACCTTACCTTCCTTTGAAATCACTGGAACAATATTACTTTTATGATATTGTGGCAGGTCAAATGATTCTATGTAGTGCAGGTTTAATGCAGATATGAGTATGTCTATCATATAACCCTGGGTCAAAAATTAAGGAAATACTATATTTTCAAAAACAATTTTGGGTTGTTCATTCCTTAATCTAAGTGAATAATAATGTCATCAATAAATTTCTTTAAACTCTAAAATATATAGTAGGTTTATAGCAAAAAGCCATCAAATGACATGTCATAAGTTCAAATAATTAAAAACTTTGATAAATTTTTCTGTCCTGAAATCAGAAAATTGAGCACTTATGTATGTGATAAATAAAATGGTGTGTTTGATCTTCATGCACTTACGACATTGTTTGTATAAATAAATAAGGTCGAAATTCGTGAAAACATATTTGAAAATTAATATATATCAAAAATTCACTTTTTCCAATAAACCAGCGATATATGTTTTAGATGAAACCATACATAATTTATATCATATACACTATTATTTATTAATGTACTCACTTAAATATTTTCTGTTTTTGTTGTAACAAAAATACAATGAAATAGTTATTAGGGTTATCAATTAGTTTGCTTACGATTTGATGATTCATTAGTACAAAAATCCATTTTTAAATATTAAGATTTTTTAAGCCTATTAACTATTAACACATTTCAGGTATTTTAACAATGTAATGTCTGCTTCAGTCTTTAATATTGGATGAATAAAATTCTTTCATCACTTTGGACTCTTGTTTAATGAAAACTAGAAAACAAACATTTACAAGTTATTATTCAAGTATAGTTTTCTTTTTATTTATTCTCAAAATTATCAGTTCAAACTGAAAGAATTTAAATGAACAAGTGATGATATTTTGATTGAGGTGGATAAATTTAAATTTATGGATAAATGTATGATTAGGATTTTTAAGGTATGTTTTACAAATATAATTATTCCTTTTAGTTTCAGAAGTACAGTGTGATTCATAAAAAAAAAAAAAAAATCTGTTTCTTTGTGTCTAATGTGGTTCTTAATATATTGTTTCTAATGGTTGTATAATGAAATGTATTACTTCATTGCAATATACATTTAGCCCAATAGAAACAAAAAATAGAAAAAAAAAATTGGTTTGAAACACATTAATTGAAATTTTCTAAATCCCACTTTACACTATATCCACATGTACCTTGATATTGCTGTGATTTATTGCAAAAATACATTAAGTAACATTTTATAATATTAAATAATTTGATGAATTTTCACTGTGTGATATCAAAACATTTTACACTTAATGTAAATATATTTGCTATATAATAGGGATTGTGTCATTTCGATACATTTAGTGAATTTTAGTATCAACAAATTAGATTGAAATTTACAGAAGTGGACCTAATAATACCCCATTAAAAATGTGTTTGGTGACATGTTGCAATAAACCAACCATATGACATACAGTTACAGTTTTTAATAAAATTCATTTATATCTTTTTAAGGTATATAGAAAACATTGATATTTATATAGATATCCAAATTTATATAAATATCTGCAGATACTGACTTTACATAAAATCAAGCTTTATTAAGACAGAATACTAATAAAAACAAGTTAAACATAAATCAAATTTGTTTTCATGAAAAAGTGTAACAGTAGAGACTTTCAATTAAAAATATTATAGTCAGATTTGTTTGTCTTTTGAATTAAACATTAATTGTTTCATAAATCTCCTATTATGTGATCACTTTCTGTTGATAATATAACAGAAAAAATGTCAGGAATTCCTGATAAAAATAATAGGTTAAAAAATAAATAAGATATTTATTTAAATGATGGAAGCACCTATATAAAATATTTCTATGAACTCATGCAAATCAGAGTGGTAATTCAGATTATAGGAGAGCCTATTTAGGATTAGGAGAGATACTTTTGAAAATCATATGGAAGGGTAATACAAACCAGGAGAACAGGTAAGCTGAGGGTATAGCAGAACATGATACAACTTCTTGAATAACAATCACAATTGGAAAGCAAGAAATCATTATTTCTCAAATAGTTTAAATGGTATTGCATTTATTATATCATTTAACAAAGCATCAAATATACAGCTTGAAAAGAAAAAGTTATTATTTGTTATGTCTACAGAATCAGTGTTTTGTCTAATGAATGGTAGGTAATTAGAATATGGTACAGATTCTGTGATCTAATGAGGGCAAACTTAAAATACATATTAACAAATCAAATTCATTTAAGTAGTAAAATTGTAAGCCTCCAAACATTGGTAAATAACAATAGAGAAATTTATTTTTTGAACATCAATTTACCAATAAATATTTTAAATAATATTACAAATCAAAGATGGCAGTACCTTGTAGGAAACTTTAAGCAGAGCTATTGTCACAATACCTCTGTTTTTGTCACAATGCAGTATTTCTCCTTTCTTGAAGACTTTAAAAATTTAGTTTGTCCCTTATAAATACAGGTAATTCCTACAATACAGATATGAATGAAAAAGTTTCATAAGCACTTTATGGAAAAATATTTTAAAAATATGTATTTTTCAGATCTATTTTTTTCATCAATAAAAGTTAATTTAGGCAATTATGTTTATTATAAACCATCCCAGATAATGGAAAACAATAAATAAAAGCTTTACAACAATTAATTTAAGCATTTTTTGCTAAAACCAGGAGTATTTTTACTTGACAGGATAGAAAATCACATAATTTGTTACACAATTTGAGGTGAATCTCAAATTTTTCGCTAATAAACTTATTAACAAATTAATAAAGCTTAGTAACGAAGAAGTTTTTCTAAAAGTGAGCTATCTGTAGTATAATTGGATGATGATAAACAAAATCACTAATTATTTATGATTCTTTTAAAAGAAGAACTTAGCTCAATTTAGCTGCTCAAAATGTCTCATTAAATGGTTTTAAGATTGCCAAATTCTCTTTTCCTTTAAATTAAATTTTGTCTAGTTTTCAGTGAGGCAATTGTTAATTATTTAAATTAAATATTTCTGTAGTTATCGCTTCTTACTCAAGGAAAGACACAACTTACTTAAAAAATCACATAACTTGGATTTCCTACATTCCTGTTGATGATTGGCCCATTGTTTATTTAGACTTTTTCGTAGCTCTTGAAGACTGCTATCCTTCCTACAAAAATTTTACTTTTCTTATGGACACCCATTTATAAATTTAAATTGATTTTTGCTGACAAATTGTAAGATGTAATGTATTCTTTATTGCTGTGTTTGTTTCGTTCTAAGTTCAACCAGTTCGTAGTGGTATCGATTTCTCTCTTAAATTTTAAAGTAGTAATGGATCACATGCCAGAGCTTTGTTAACTAGTTATTGTTGAAGGAAAGGACTTAGGCGCCATTAAATTTTAAATATCTATAGGCTTTCTTTTCATGTTATTTGTGATCCTCGTTTATATTCTTATGTTCCTCCTTAAATTAGTTTCGTTCTGACTGATAATAGGTTTCGTTAACGGAGAACAAACAAAAAATCGATTCTTTTCAGTGGTAGTTCGTAGTACATACCACTTTTTATCAAATTATTAAAATATACACAAAACACCGTGAATAGCTTGATCTCATCACAACCTACGAAGTTTTTATTTACAAAAGTTCTCGGAATTTCGACCTTTTTTCATCTAATGATCGGCAAATTTATATATTAATGAGGTAAAAAAAAATCGTGAACACCCATTTGGGTTCCATTCGAATCTTAATATAATTTGTAAAACAAAATTGAGAAAAAGTGGCCTACAAAAATATTGGACCGTTTGGCGTGACCCCCACCCACAACAAGTCAAAATAACGATTTGACGCAATAATAAATTGCCCAATATTTTTATAGGCTATCATCAAATGGTGCAAGGGAAAAGCATATGGGTATTTATGAGTTGTTTGTACCTCATTAAATTAATTAATTCTAAGCATTTTCAGAGATTTTTAGGTGACAATAAGATGAAGCCAATCATGGTAATAATTTGTTTAAAAGGGGTCTGTACCATAAACTATGACATGTTCCATCCATGTTATGAGTGGAAACATATCTATAAAATATATATATATATTTTGAATATGTACATACGTACTATATTGGGAATCATTTGAGTTCGTGATTTTATTTTTAATCACGAATAACCAAATACACAATCCGCAAATCTAAATTCTATCATAATTTTGTATTCGCTGATAATCAAAACTCGTAGATATCAAACCCACGAATGTTCAGGGATCACTGTAAGTAAACCTGTTTCCAAAACAGCTTCTTCCCAAGACTTTATTCTCAAATAAAAAATTATAGATGCAATATAAATAGAACATAAAATAAAGGTAACTGTATAACCCAAAGAAATGGTAAGACAACTATCCATAACTCATTTGGCAGACTTTTTTATTTAGAATAGTATATACAATCGTATTTCACATTCAAACTTCCTATGAATGAATACCCTATTTTGGCACTGGCTTTCGGACTATTAAAATAATATCACTTACAGATTTTGCAAATGGACGAAAATCTTAAAAGGAAGTTGCGAGTTTTAGGAAATTAAAAAAAAAAAAGAAAAAAAGAAATGAAGAAAACCTTATAAAATAACCGAACAAATCATAAAATTAAAATAGAAATTCATAAGCTCTTAGCTGCTCTCTTAATTTTTTGTTTATTTGAAGTTGCTTGAAATTTTTTTTGGGGGATATCCAGAAATATTCAAACCTCAGCAACTCCACATCATGCCATACTCCGCTCGTGTCAAGGGCAGATAATTGATTAGGCGGTTCTCTACGACAGATTTAATTTTATATCAGTACAACTTTAAATACAATTGCATTTATAACTGATGCATTAATCATTCGGCATAGATTATTTTCAAGATCATTGAGATCGTCGTAAAAGGTATGATATATATTTTTACTTTCACTTACCTATATATGAAATATATAGTAAGGGTAAGTATTGCGATCGTGAAAATTTTCGAATTTGAATTTCCAACGGAAATACATGTTTTGATCTCTACTGGGTCCAAATCTCTCTGTGTGTGTGTATGTCTGTGTGTGTGTTAGCAGGCTAGCTCAAAAACGAAAAGTCGTAAGAAAGTGAAATTGCATATTTAAGGCTTTTATAAGCCTCAGATGTTACAGCAACCTTTCCCTTAAAATCGACTAACCGAAAGTGCCACTTTATACTAGCGATGAAACACATTTTTACAATTTTCTCAAAAACGGTTATAACAATTTTGATTAAATTCAGTGTATCATTGTATAATTATGTGATTTTTAATATCATTTAGGTCTCATCCCCCATTGATGTCACTTTACTGGTCATAAATGCCAAATGTTGATATACGTCTTCCTCTAAAGTACCTTTAATATGGTTTATTTAAAAAAGTTAACTCTCTTTTATTGACAGTAACTGTAAAACATGGCTAAATATGAAGTTTGAAAGAATATGATATTGGAACATAAAAAAAAAAAAAAAAAAAAGAAAATTGCTTATCCAGGATGAAAATGAATCTCCGGAAATAACAGTAAGAAGGTATACGTATAAGATATCGTTGAAAAGCAGAAAATTTTAGAAAAAATAATATCAAATAAATAAAGTTGTAGATGATTTGATATTATATTCTCTATATGCTCTAGCCATGATACTATATTTAAATAATTAGGTATCTATTGACCGTTTATTCCAAAAAATCATGAACTGACCTTTTAGAAAATTAATTTAGTGAATCATTTGAAGAATGTTTTCTTTATGACATCCCAACATTATTCACTTGCAATTAGTGTGACAACTTTTGAGCTATCCATGGCAGGCAATGAAAATCTCGTAATTTCATTTTAGTAAACTTTATAATGAAAAATAACAGTTTAATAACTAATAGTCCTACAATCCGTAATCACTCATAGGTCAAATATTCAGAGGTACTTTTAAATCTCTCTAGGCATATATTAGCCTTTCGGATCACAGACTAACTCAAATTTCAACATTCTTTATTATTAATTTTAGTAATGTTTCTAGTGGCAAAATTGATACCTTTGTTCACAGTTTTATATTTCAACACTGCAATAACCTACTCTGGAATCAACTTACTCACTACCTGTATAGATATAAATTTTTCAAGTAGACATATCACTAAAATGGCTTTACTCAAAAATGTTGAAATTGGAGTCAGTCATTCTGTCAGCTGAAAAACTCAGAGACTGAAGTTATGTGGTTTACAAAACTAGAATTTTATTGCCTAGACTTTTTATAATTTTAATGGTATTAATGATTTTTTATCTGTAAGCTTTAAGCTTTAGCCAGAAAATAATTTTTATTTAAAGTAGAGGGGTAAGTAAAAGTTGTGTGTAGCGCACACCAGATTTTTTAAAATATTATTTTAACCAAAAAATAAGATTTTCGGATAAGATATAATAATAATAATAATACTTTATTTATTCTGGGACGAGTCCCTTTAGAATAATACATAGAGACAAAAATGTGGGCTAAGGAGCCTCAGAGATATATAAAGAAGAATATAGTTTGATTAAATAGTAAAAAAAAAAATAGATAAATGAAAAAAAATAATAAGAGAAATTATAAGTTACTTTCTAATTTACATCAGTTAATAATAAAAAGTAAAAAATTGAAAATAAACATGAAGTAAAAAAAAT